TGAGCTATAATAAGCATGTTACTATGTTTGCAAATTCGAGCTTTGAAGTTCCGGTAGGCAGTCTGTGTAGAGTATCTACCTTCAGCCCCGGCTTGTTGATAGTCCAAGATCTCCTGTGAAGAGAACGCTCGCGATAGAAAGATACACCAAGATCCATGATGTACTTGCCGCTCTGGGACATGGAATCAGAAAAACCTCCCTAGATTAGATCAATGAGACACCACAGATCCAGTGGGAAATGGTGGGGGAAAAGGTCCAATCAGCAGCTGATCAACAGAACCTTCGAATTTGGACACTTTGACATCGCGGAGCCTTGGGGAATCCAGATGTTGTTGAGACTTTGAGAACCACGAGAATGAGGTTTTTGATTGACTTTGGCCATTTTAGGTAATGCGTGGCCTAGTCCCATTTCAGTATCCACTGACTAGTGTCTGATTGGGCGAATTAAATTTTCCTTTATACAAAGTACAGAGTAGTACCTAGTAGTACTACTCCGTAGGTAGTAGGTACTACCTACTACTCCTAGGTACCTAGTAGTAAGTTCAGTCTGCCTCAAGCCCTCAACTTGCCAGGGATCGCCGATGCTTCAACTAGGGGTGGTATTCAAAATGTCAAAATGACAGAAATGACGTGTCATTTTAACTTTTTTTCTGACAAAGGATTATTTTGTTAGAAAATTTTTTTACTATAGGAAGGTATTAACTGTCATATACTGGTAGATAACTATCCAAATGATAATATATATTTTGATAAGGTGTTGTCTCATCTCCTAGTCAATTCTACCTTAGCTACTGGAATCATGTGATAAAAATCTATATAATCTGATTAGTTAGATTTCAAGAGACTACTCTCCTATGGGATCCACTTTGATCACGTGCCATTTATCACTTGTCAGGAAAAAAATGGCTTGTCATTTGTCATTTTGGCCAGATTTTTGACATGCTACACCACCACCACCCCTAGCTTCAAGAACCAATCATCGAGATTTCCCGGCCTCCCACCTTTAACTGGCTCCTCCCCGCGCAGACCCCGGTCATTTTTTGATTCTTTGAGGGATTTTGAGATTTCTGCGGATTTTGGCTGTAGGGCTCGTGATTCCTGTTTTTTTTTTTTTTTTTTTTCTTGTCTGAACTTTGAAGACACGTTCCCCCCCCTGATTCATGAAAATCTGCTTCTCTTTGCTTTTTTTCTTTGCTACAGAGTACTTAGCACCTATTCTTAAAATCTCAATTGAAACCTCACTGACAGGCTGTTATAGTCTTTACAGTCTTACAGAATGCTGACCTCGCGAGTCCTTACTCCTTTCTCTTGGGTCTCGGGAATTTCCCCAGCTTCTGCCTCGTGGCTCCAGCAGGGCTTGGCCTGGATTCCCGCCTGGTTCGAGATCCTTTGAATCATGAGGGGGGCAAATAATGAACTCTTTGATCATGGTTAAAAGTCATTTCAAGGCTCTGATCCTATCAATAATTGTGTCTTCTCTTTGTTCTCATGGAGTCATGGCATTTATCAACCAGTTCCACTAAACGACAGGGATCATCCGGGAATGACGACAATCCACATAAATGGCTCCTGGGAAACCTCCGTAGAACGCTTCTTTGTAGTTGACCTTTTCTCTCCGATCATCGGCACTAACTTACCAAATAGCTCAGATTCAGAACTCAGAAGCCTGAGTTCCTGAGCTGAGTTCCCCCCCCCCCCCCTCCCCCAGACCCCAACAATGGATAGACTAGGATATGGAGTATGGAGCATTCTGTTCTGTATGGAATATATCAGAGTTCTGGACATTTCGGTCGACTGTCTGGCACCAATAATGGGTGAGGCTTTTATAAACCACTTTGCCTGATACTTCTCACCCCTAGATAAGGACGGCCAGCGATCTTCATTACTTTCACCCTCACTACGGTGTATGCAAGTCAAGGACATGTTCTGGGCCATAGTAACTAGTATGTCTGATATTGATGATTCGCCGTTAAATATCGCAGGGGAGAATGTGACCTAATTTTCCTTGCTTTCCCTTGAGGATGGATCAAGGCGTTCCGCCGATCGGAGGTTCCGATAATATTGTCGATGTCCACGACCGCTATACTTCAAACCGGATCATAAATCAGAATAGCTGTGCTTCTTGTATGCCACAGTGCCACAGTATCTGCCAACTGCACGCTCTCCTTCTGATGCACTTCTAGCTCGTGATACACTAGTTGATTCGTGCATATGGTGACTTGGCGGGAGCACGAGCCCTGGGGAGGCTTGGATTGGGATTTGGGAGAGTTTCAACGCAACAGTCCAACTAGTTTACTAGGCGTCTCTAGGCCTCGTGGGCCGCTTGGTATTCTTGATCCTCAGGATTCCACCGTCGGGATCAGAATCGGATACGATGCCACTTTCGGCAACAGACACGGCCCCCCCTTTCTCTTGTCCCCAATCCCCATGGGCCTGGCTTCGTGTGAATCTGGAGATGGTAGAGTAATAGACAAGTGGGCTTATGGAGGACATCCTATCCTACGGAGTATGTACCTGACATGCACTATGAGACAGCATATTATCTTATAGCTGGATCCTTCGAAGCGCTTGGGATGTCGGTTCGTTGAGACTTGACTACTATGGAAGAACTGTCGGCGAAGATAGTTATGAGTATGACATAGGGCTCACAATCAAGACTTCAACCCATGCGAGTTTCGTAGATGATCGACGAGACTAAGTGATATGCAGTTGAGGTCTTCAGGCTGGGAGAGGGGATAGGCACGGATTATCTGCATTCTAGTACACGCCCGGCAGCTCGACGGTAGGTGTCATAGAGGATCCGTATGATGATATGTCATGACTATGAGGGCCAGGCAGACCGTCGAGTTGTATGTCTTATGTCTTATGTCTTATGAACCAGACTGTGCGATAAAGACGGGTACAAAATAGGAGTATGTGGACTACAGAGGTCTGCGGATCATTCAGACAACTAATCCACATAGGACGGAGCACTCATGGGATCTTCATTATTATTGCTGGGTTGTGAGTATAGGTACTTCCAGTAAGTATCGCGGGTATGAACCTCGGCATGGAGATCTCGCAGTCTGTTACGAATGTGCGAATGGTAACACTAAGACGGGAGTACGGAGTACATATAGCTCATACACTAATATAATTTATGCATCCTTGCCGCTGTCGAGCCGCCCTATCGACGGATTCTAATTAATATTTCCAGATACTTTCATTGAGTGCTGACACATCTTTGTGTGCACTGTGCAGACTGAAGAAAACCAAGAGCTAGTACTGAGCGGTCCTAGCACGACACATATCCAGACTTTCTCGAAGCGGTATATTTTCTGAAGTTGGTAATATGGTCCGCAAGGAAGAGCGGAGGAAAAAGTCTGGAGTAAAAAAGTAAAAGTTTAAAAAAAAAAAAAAAAAAAAAAAAGGAAGTGCTCACTGCTCACTGAAACAGTGAGTGACTGTGGGAAAGTGCAAATTGCAAAAAGGCGCAGCAGAGAAAAGCGGAAAAGATCCCGAAACCATGACGCAGCAGCCCACTGTAACTTGTAAGAGACCTGTGACTGGCGGTGGCGGCCAGGCCAAGTAACGTGACCGGGCCGAAGACACCCGTTTATGGATGGATGGGTTGGAACTTGGGACTGGGAGTCTGGGACTTTGTTGCGAACCTGCAATAGTGTGGCTCAGGGAAGCCCGGAGTGGAGAAGGAACAAACCGGGTGTGGGAACGGCTTCTTCAATAATTTTCTCCTCCCCTAGTCGAAATACGGTGAACACCTGGAAAATTCCTCCTTGTGATCCGATCAGATTTAATCACCAAAGGGGGGGCAGGAGCCTCAGTGCTTGTGGTTGTGGGAGATGCGAGTCCAAAGCTCAAAGATGTCCCTCCGACCTTAGTATATCATTATATATAATTATTGTCATCATTCATCAACTTCATTCTTTCTCGTCATCCTGGCTGCTGACCATCTAGGACTAAGGCTGTGAGTCTGTGACTGCACCGATCCGCTCACCCCGCCGAACCTGGCCCGCTCTAATCCCATTTTGATTCTCGACACATACGAAGTACTCCAGAAGTCCAGAGTCCAGCATCTGGTGCATTAGTATTTTGGATCCAGCTAACTAGTTTGGAGCTAGTACGTAACTTACCTGGTTCTTCTATAAGCAGTTAGTTAGTTAGTTAGTTAGTTAGTTAGTAACTTAGTACCAGTATCAGGCTCTGTACCAGTATTGGTTATCCAGATTGCAATCTTCTGGATGGACATCCTAAGGTACCTAACTACCTATGATTCTGTGGTCCTGGTCTGGGGGAGGCAAGCTTGATGGCCAGTAGTGGATATCTGGAGGGGCTCATCATCCCAATTCCCAAGTTCCCAACGCTGACGGTCGGGGGAACCTCCTGACTTGTTCGGATTTTCAGCAAGGGTATTGGTTACTGTGTTATTTTATCCATTAGTCAGTATGTATGCAATTATCTTATTTTATTATGTTTTATTTAATTCTTTATTATTATTTTTTATTTATTTTTTTTTTTTTAATTTTTTTTCTCTTACCTCTGCTGGGGTCAATGGGACATGGAGTAGGGATCCATACTGGCGAACAGTTCCATTGTCATTATTCTGCTATTATTTAAGCAATCCCTCTCCCCGGCCCCAGGTTTTTTTCGTCCGCTGGACGAAATGTGGGATTGAAGGGATCCTCCTATCCAGAAGCTTCAGAACGAAATAATAATCAGTCGTATAACCCCATACAGAACGAAAGAAGAAACAGAACCTCTCCACTCTTGCTCCTATTACACGAAACAAACAGCTCCTATCAGTCTTCTTTCCTTTGACTCACCTACCCTTTTCTTTTTCTACCTACATTACATATCTTGAACACGTGCTTCACCAATTTCAATTCCTCCGACATCTCTTGACTTCCAAGACAGACGACAAGACTCTACCCTTATGATTTGCTGATTGAGACACCTCCTATCGAATTATTTGTATCACCCGGTTTGCCTTACTAGCACACAATATGGCCAATCTCGCTGTATCATCGTCGACGGCCACTCCCGCCAACACGGCGGATACCGAATCTCAGGGTAAACGGAAAGCCTCGACTGCTGGGCTTTCCGCGAATTCACGACCAGTCAAACGTCGGGCGTCAAAAGCCTGCTGTTGCTGCCGAGCTCGGAAAGTCCGATGCGACGTGGTGGAGAATGGCTCCCCGTGTACGAATTGCCGCCTGGACCAGGTCGAATGTGTTGTTACGGAGAGCAAGAGGAGAAAGTGGGTTATCCTCTCCCTGTTCCTTCTGGTGTAGGTCTTTGGGCTAATCCAGTCGTTTCTTTTGTCACAGGAAGTCACGTGTCGAGGTTGAAAATGCCAACCGTCAGCCTTCTCAATCTCCTGTTGATGTCTCTGAGGACAGCGCAAGCTTTCTGAGGAGGCTCAGCGAGTGCCATGAATTACCTCCAGATTTGGCTCCTGGATCGCCGTCCCAGAACTCCATTGACCTGGATCAGGGACAGCATATGCCGCATCTTCTATGTGTGTATTTGCCATTGCCCCTCGTGGGCCTTTGTGCTCTCGGGACTCTCGTACTAATATAGCATCAACTGTAGATCAAAACCAGGCTAGCAGAATCGGCGGAGGGGACCAGTTTCGCAGGCGAATGGCCCCCAACCCTCCGCCGACTCTTCCTCTTCACCACGTGACATCCCAAATCCAGCAGTTGCTGGACCCTTCTTTCTCCAACTCTCGGTCCGCTGGTGTGCTTCTGCCGGACTATATTAGAGGGTTGCCCTCTCGGCTCCAGAAGGAAGATATCGAGTATCTTGCCATGAAAGGGGCTCTGACAGTACCCGATGTGGGGCTGAGAAACGAGCTCCTCAAGGTGTACATTCATTATGTGCACACGTACATGCCTCTGTTGGACTTGGAGGAGTTCCTGCAGACGATCGTACAGAATGACGGAATTCATCGCATGAGCTTACTCCTTTTTCAAGCCGTTATGTTTGCCAGCACAGCGTTTATCGATCTCAAACACCTTCAAGCTGCCGGATACCCGACAAGGAAAGCTGCCCGGAAGGTGTTCTTTCAACGTGCCCGACTCCTGTACGACTTTGACTACGAGGTCGACCGGATCTCCCTGGTTCAATCTCTCCTACTGATGACTTATTGGTACGAGACCCCGGATGATCAGAAAGACACATGGCACTGGATGGGTGTGAGTCTATCGTTGGCGCACACCATCGGGTTGCATCGTGACCCAGGAAACTCTCGCATGGGCGCTCGGCGCCAACGGATGTGGAAGCGCATCTGGTGGAGCACCTATACACGCGATCGTTTGATTGCTTTGGGCATGAGACGGCCCATGCGCGTGAAAGATGACGATTGTGATGTTCCCATGTTGACGCTCGATGACTTCGAATTCCATCCCTTCTCGCCGGAGATTGTCAGCATGATTGGAGATTCCGAGATCTTGCAGAATGTTGACTATCAAAAGGAGCTGGCTCTTATGTTTATTGAGAAGGCGAAGCTTTGCCTGTGTGTCAGTCATGTCCTCTCGGCTCAATATTCGGTGTTGAGTCATAAATTCGGCGGTACGATGGAGACAACTATGATGCTGGTCCCGAAGAAGTCCTCGGCCGAAACGTTTGAAGTCCGAAGTTGCGATCAAGAGTTGGAAGATTGGCTGGCCAATCTTCCCGCAGAGATCCAATACTCTCCGGCGGCACCCGCAAAATTGACGGAAGCCCAAGAAGTCCTCCACTCTCACCGCGCCCTCCTGAAAATGGTTTACTTGACCACTTCGAGCGCGTTGCATCGTCCTCAAGTGCTCCCTGCTAGTCCCTTCCCATCGATGGATGCCGAACTGCAGGAGATGTCGAGGAACAAGGTTCGGTTCGCAGCAATCGAGATCACCAACATTGCCCAAGACCTGCACAGCTTGGATTTGACAAGATATTTCCCTACTACTGGCGTGACAGTATTACTTCCTGCCGTCATCATCCATCTCCTCGATATTAAATCCAGCGATCCAAGTGTCAGAATGACCAGTCTCCAGCGTTTCTACCAGTGCATGCGTATCTTGCAGCGGTTGAGAGAGATTTACGCATCTGCTGATTTTGCGACGTCTTTCTTGGAGGCCGCCATTCGCAAGGCTGGAATCCAACTCACAGTGGCGCCACAGGACGTGCAGGCTCGTTCGACCGCCTCTTTCGACGCGCCCACCCGTGTCAATACATTGACCCCGCCTCCCGACTCTCTCGCACAGAAGATTCCGGATCTCACGTATCCAAAACCCGCTGCGAGTGTCCGAATTGCACGCCCAAGCGTCGGGGGAAGCGAGACTCTGTTTGCCTCTACGCCACCACCTTCGGATGGTAGCGAGAACGGCAGCACAAGCAACATCAATCCCAGCTATCACCCGAATGCCTTCAGCATTCCCAACTTGGATTCGGACCTGAGCATTAGCGAGCTCATGGACCTGGCGAATGACGCGGAGGTCACCCAAAATGACTTTGACGCGCTCATCAACTTCGATGACGCTGGTGCCGACTTCTTCAGTGCTGACGACCACATGAACCTCAATGGGGCTGGTTCCAACCACAGTAAGGGCTATGGGTTCGGCATGGACTCGATGCCTGGCATGTCCGATGTGATGGGCTTTGACCACGAAAGCAAGACCGAGATGTCAACTCGGGGCGGCGGTCATGGCAGTGCGGCGCTGAGGCACAACACTACCGAAACAGTAGTTGGCGCAAGCAGTCTGACAACCAGCCTTGATGCCGAGTTGGGGCTGGGTCTGAGCGTCTGATATGAAACCTATGCCATGTATCGTTTATATTTGGTTTGAAGCGTGCATGATGCTTTTTTCTTTTACCTTCATGTTTTCTTAATGTCTGGGTACGTCAAGATATGGTTTTGGGCGGCGGAGTTTTTGTATAATGGGGTGTCCGGGATACGACCTTTTTCTGATCTACCATATATTCACACGCTATGTGTTGCTTCTGCATGGCGATTATTTGATTACATAGAGGGTACTCAAACGTATGACATGAGGAATACAATGATCTCTGAGATTGCATATCATTCTTCGGTAAACTTGTCGAGCTCATCCTTGTTTTAAGGCCTGGTGGATCAACCTGGGGCGCCTAACGCTGTTCCCTACTGCTGGTGATTATATGAGAAACTTTATTGATACGGACTGTGGCAGAGAATCAAGCACCAAGGATGGACTAGGTCCCTCCGAGTCATCGACACCTATCTGGTTGACACTAGACACTAATAGTAGTCGTTGTTTCTGCGTCGCCAGCAGATACTACCCATGACTCGCTTAGTCTGCGTCTGCTTACCATGAAGATGGCCCATTAGTCCTACCATCTGGTCAGTAATACCAGTATTAAGATACTCGTGCATCAGAATCCCCCACAATGGCTGCTGAAATGCATTATGACATACTCCCTCCCCCCCTCCTCTCTCTCTCGATGCAGTTTCCCGTCAATCACGGTGCTGTCAGCTCGTTTGGCTCAATCAAAACTTTCCGGAACAGCTGTGTTTGCGACTCCACTAGATACCAGGTACACAAAACATGGAAAGCCTGCAAGCGCGAATAGGGTCCCTTCGTTCGCGTTGGATTTGGGCATTCGGCCCTTTGTCTGCAGTGTCATAACTGCATACCCGGCTGCAGTAGGTGGAGCAGTTAGTCGACCAGAGGCCAGAGAGAGAAGGTGGAGGAACTGCCTAGGGCCACTGGATTCAAAGAGAAGTTGGTAGCCTAGGACATACTAGTATGATGATTTGGCATCATCAATGCCATCATCAACCTCTTCCCAGGGCCGTGGACGTTCTTTGCATGCATCAGCAAGATATGCTGCTGTCAGTGTATTCTCGTCAGTTGTCTTGACTCTTACGGCATACATTCTGGGCTAGACTCTTTTTGGCAGGTCTTGTTGTTGTCTCGCTTCTTCGCCTGGACAACTCTTTCTCTCTCTCTTCCCACTCTCTTCATTTGCTCATCAGAAGGTACACTCTTATCAGCCTTCATCATCTGTTTTCATTCTTGTTGTACTAATTCTACATTGACCGCAATCAGATTGGAGCTCTAGCTCACCCCACATCTCACGATATCTCCCACATCTCTCTGCCTCCATAAAGTACTTCGCTAGGCCGTCGATCCTCGCCATTTCCGGGCCTTACTAACATCAAGGCTTTTCTGCCATCCGGCGAACTGGTCATGATTCGTGTATTCTATCAGCTCTGCTGTGGGGACACTAGCAACTATGCGATGCGAGAACCGGGAAGTCAACTCAAAGGAGCTCTGGAGCCTAGTCTATCTATACCTGATCGTCTCCGACTAACTAAATCTACCTTGTTTACCTCAATGTCTAGCACTACTGAGAATACGAGTCATTGTTCATGAGTTGTCTACCATGCTCGCTGGCTTAGTTGCCGATTGGGCGATGCAGATGAGATGAATCATGAATACTACAGGATTGTCAAATTTTATCGCCATGCCCTTGGATACCCCACAGATAGATGGGCAGGGTGTGCCTTTACCCCTCTCAACAGGCTGGGCTAGGAATCGGCAATCGTATGCTTGCTCCCTAGTATAAATGCTGGTCCTACTCCAGCCATGTCTCTCCAAAGCTGGATCGGAAAGCAGCCAACTGACACCAAGCCGTTCTCTATCATCTTCAAGAATCAAGTTGGTACTGAGCTAGCATAATTATCGCTACCCCTCGCCATTGTCTCTGAAGCATGCTCCGACAGGGTTTGGTCTCCTTGTTACCGCTGGCAGCGGCCGTTTGGGTGCCAGCGGCGAATCAACCGGTACCTGTTAGAAGACAAATGCCAAATGAGCCTACCGGAGTCCAGACTATCAAGACCGCCAATAATGTTACGATTCGATACAAGGAACCGGGCAAAGAGGGTGTTTGTGAGACCACACCCGGGGTCAAGTCATATTCTGGATACGTCGACCTCTCACCTACTTCACACACCTTCTTCTGGTTCTTCGAAGCGCGCCATGACCCGGAGAATGCCCCCATTACTCTCTGGCTCAACGGCGGCCCTGGAAGTGACTCTCTGATTGGGCTTTTTGAAGGTATCTTTCCTTTGACTCACCAGCTCTGAGCTCATTATTGATTATTGTATAATAGAACTGGGTCCTTGCCAAATCAACTCGACCTTTGATTCTAATATCAACCCTCACTCATGGACTGAAGTCTCAAATATGCTGTTCTTATCTCAGCCATTGGGTGTCGGTAAGGAGTATCCCATGAAGATTCGCAGATTCATAGCCCGCCACTCATGACATTTGTTTACAGGATTTTCTTATCGCGAGGCAGAGGCTGGCTCACTGAATCCTATCACTGGTGTGTTTGAGAATGAAACATTTGCTGGTGTTCAGGGGCGTTATCCGGTCATTGATGCTACCTTGATTGGTAAGTTGGACTGGACTTATATGCTTTTCCTTGATTAGGTCCCAGGTCTGACAATGCAATTCTGTAGATACTACCGAGCTCGCTGCCCGTGCTGCTTGGGAGATTCTCCAGGGTTTCATGGGTGGACTGCCACAGTTGGACGCTAGGATCAAATCTAAAGATTTCAGTCTGTGGACTGAGAGTTATGGAGGGTAAGTTGTGCTCGTCAGGGTGTTACCCACCCCCCCCCGAATTAAAACATTGACTGTCGCTAACCATTCCAAAGTCACTATGGCCCAGCTGTAAGTTTCTATCTGTGTCACACTGTGTTTCATGGCTCATAGCTCATGGCCCATTGTGCTTAGTTCTTTAACTACTTTCACGAGCAAAACGAGAAGATTGCCAACGGCACGGCTGAAGGCATTCATCTCGACTTTAACTCCCTCGGAATTATCAATGGTATCATCGACGAGGGCATTCAGGTATGAATGAATGCAATTCAACGGCCTGGACACTGTTTGTTATTGACATTTCACAGGCAAGCTACTACCCAGAGTTTGCAGTAAACAATACCTATGGAATCAAAGCCGTGAGCTGATCCTGGATCCTTCGCTTTCGCCTCGAGTCGGTACTGATTGCAAATTGACATTAGGTCAATGATACCGTGTACAACTACATGAAATTCGCCAACGAAATGCCAAATGGGTGTCAGGATCTAGTCGAGGTGTGTAAGATCACGAATCGCACGTCTCTGGCTGATTACGCTATTTGCACCGAGGCGACCAACATGTGCAGAGACAACGTCGGTATGTTCGAGAAACCCATGCTCGTCCTAACAATGCTTAAATATGTAGCCTTGTGGCTGACTAGGTTGTACAGAGGGGCCCTACTATGCGTTTGGTGGCCGTGGAGTCTATGACATCCGACACCCATATAAGGTATGTACAACACGGGAAAACGCTATCATGGAGCAGTAAAGGAAACAAAATAATGCTAACCGAAACACCGTGATTCATACACAGGACCCCACACCAGAAAGCTATTACCTCGAGTATCTCCAGAAAGATTCGGTGATGGACGCCATCGGAGTGAACATCAACTACACCCAGTCAAACAACGATGTGTATTTCGCCTTCCAGCAAACCGGCGACTTCGTCTGGCCCAATTTCATCGACGACCTGGAGGAAATCCTCCAACTGCCGGTCCGCGTTTCTCTCATCTACGGTGATGCCGACTACATCTGCAACTGGTTCGGCGGCGAGGCCGTCTCCCTGGCCGTGGACTACACGCATGCCCGGCAGTTCCGCGCCGCCGGCTACACCCAGCTGATCGTCGACGGCGTCGAGTACGGCGAGACCCGCGAGCACGGCAACTTCTCCTTTACCCGGGTTTACCAAGCCGGGCACGAGGTCCCTTACTACCAGCCCTTGGCCTCGCTGCAGCTCTTCAACCGTACCCTTTTCGGCTGGGATATCGCAAAGGGTAACACCAAGATCTGGGCTGGTTACAGCGCCAACGGCACAGCCAGGGCGACGCATACCGCGTCGTCAGTGCCCTTATCTTCGGTGACTTCTGGTGCCAGTGCCCACTAGTCATTTGGCTGTCTGTAGCTATGAAGCTGTACATATCTTGCATGCGAATATGACCTTTGGTTTCCCGTGTTGTCTTTTCTGACTTCCTAAAAGCGGTATTCAGTAAATCGGGGAAGGCTGAGCTTCGTTAGATCAGCCCAGAACATGGCAGAACTGCAAGATTGGTCGATTGACAAGGCATGGGAGCGTATACAGATAAATTATGAGGGGTATACATCGCAATGAAGAAACTTGCTCTAGCATGAGCACTGTTTGATAGAGCGCTGGGCGATTAATTAAGAATAAGATTAGTGATTGTTCGTCATAAGTACATGTCCTGCATCACGGAGAGATCCCCTTCCTCCCCTTCCAAGCTTCCGACCATTGGAGGAATGAGAACTAGACCAAGACAGAATTGCCAGGGGTGTCCAAAATAACAAAAGACCGTCAATAACAAACGTCAAACAGGGTTATCGTTGGCATATAGGCGTCAACATGACCATGGAAATATGTCCGGGAAAGCGCGCGAAGGATATCAAGATGCACACACAAAGCGCAAAAGCAAAAATTACGCGACAGACGCGCGCTTCTCGCTAAGGTCTTCCTTGGAAGATGATGCGCGGTCTTCGATGGGGATGCCTTTGACATCTTGAGCAGTCTCGTCCGAGAACTTCAGATCTTCTTCCATATCGATATGATCCTTGACCTTGAAGAAGATGATGGGAGCTGCAATCAGGAGACTGCCGACGAGCAGTCCCCAGCACGAAGCAAATTCCGTCATGAATGGGGTATTCTCCGCATCCAAGCTGTACAGTTTGATCTGTCAGTCAGGGGCCCTGTCATCTTCTGACTGTGGAGAGTGCTAGCATTGCAGCTGAAACTTACCGCCACATTCCAGCAGCGCCAGCGGACTGGATTCCTTTGTAGAAACCAGCGAAATTGGCCAATTTCCGACCATTATTGGTAAGAGATCCCATGAACCTGATATTTTTTTTTTTTATCAGTGAAAAGGATTCAAGGAAAAAAAAACTTCATAGGACGACTGACCAATAAGCGCACGTCTGAAAAGCAGCGTCGTAGAAACCATAGAACATGTAGAGGAACATCGGACCAACATAGCCAGATGTCGTCCAATCCACGTCTTGCTTGGCAGTCTCACGGGTGTAGCCCTTCTGGAAAGCATATCCACCACCCCACGTAGCCATGGTGATGATCAAAAGGAGAGCCCAGTTCAATTTGGCCCGCATAGACCGGGAGAAGAACTTCAGATCCAAAGTATGGCCGAACACGAAGGCACCAATCATCTGACTCAACCAGTAAAGCAGACTGTTAAGGGATCGGGTGCGAATATTGAAGTAAGCACCATTGACACTGTTGAAATGATACCCGTAGAACCAGTTGCTCGCCAAAAACATGGGGAAAAATAGCACGATATAGTAATCGCTGCGCAGGGTCTCATAGAGACCCAGAAACTCCGACTTCCAGGTCGGGTTCTTCATCACAATGACCCGGGTGCCGTTCTTACGGACGATGTACTTGGAATCCGACAGGGACCAGGCCAGGATGAAGCCCGCCGCCATCAGAACCATGAAGGCAATGTAGGTGCCGTCATTGACTTTGCCAACGGTGGAGTGCAAGTTCTGGCCCAAGGGGATCTATTGCGTGACGGACGGACGGCAAAGGCACGTCAGTCACTTGCTTCTTTACCAGTCCGGTGATTGTAGGAATCACTTACCAAGCTGCCAATCACGCCGCCCAGGTTGAAGATGACCCAGAAGATGGCAATGAATTTGCCCTTCTCGTGTTCGAGAGGATAACTCATCATCACAGCACCCTGCGCACACCAGAGAAGGCCGGCGCAGACACCCAGCAGTGCACCAGCGAAGATGAGAAAACCGGCGTTTTCATTGTGGTTGTAGGAGAGAAGCGCCGCCACGTAGAGGAAATAACCGAAACCGCCAAACGAGATGGTCAGCTGAAGCCCGATACGGTTGGCGATCGAACCAGCGAAGAAGCCTACGACGGCGAAGGTGCTGTACAGGGCGGTGTTGGCGTTGCTGACATCGGTCTGCTTGACTTGTCCACCACCACCAAGACCACTGACGGCATTGAACATACCGGGGCAAAGGAAACAAACAAAGGAGACCAAAACCAGTTGGAACTCAGGTGAGGCGAAATAGGGTAATTTCCAAGGGCCGATTTGAAGCGACTTGTACATCCACGGCTTGCCGACGATGGCGTTGTCATGGCCGGCTTCAGGATCCGAAGTGATTTCGGGAGCCTCTTTCTCGGTCCGGTGAATGTCCTCCGGCTTTTCGGATGCCATTTTGTGCGTTCTGAGAGAGGATGGGTAGATATCAATTAGGGAGCGGTTGAAAGCCAACAGATATGAATTGGTTTGCGTTGATGGTCGGAAATGGAGGGGGGGGTGGGGGGGGGGGATTGGCGATCAGCGGATTCTCCCCAAGACACCAGAGCTGTTTTTTTGACAATTGATCAAAGGCAACACAAAAGACCCGAGACCAGCTGTACGTGTATGGCGGACTGTATAGGCTGGTGAGAGGTTGATGGATGTATATATGCGGAGTAAACAAAACAAAGTCTGGCCCGAGATCTCTTTATGTCCTAGAGTGGAAGGACAAACAGCCCTAGGGAGGGCCGATGGCGATCCTTCTTTGCGCCGGAAACAGACGCAGGGGGTGGGTGAGAATATCAAGAATGCGGGATGACGGATATGCGTGTAACCAGGACCTATATATGTGTGAGTATGGCGTATGACGGCGATTGAATGTACGACTTGGGTCATACCAAAGAGGAAAAGCAGATGTTTGCTTTGGGGCTGCGATGAATCCGGGGTAATATTTTGACAATGGGGATAGAGAAGAAAAGAGGGAAGAAGAGGGAAAACAGAGCGGGCGAGAAGGCCAAACAAATAGTCGAACGCGATGGGGGGATCCGAGCTGAAACTGAAAGGGGAGAAGAGAAAAAAAGAAAAGAAAAAAAAAAAATAATTAAACAGTAGTTAGATTAAACCAATTATGGAAACGATATCGACCTGTGATAGACACTAAGGTGTAGAGGGAGAGAGAGAGAGAGAGAAAGAGAGGGAGGGAGAGAGAGGGAGGGATGAAGGAAGATGAGGATGAAGAACCACCACCACAACAATAACATTAACAGAAGAGAGACTTCCGAGGTAACACTGCGATCTAGATTGATAGTAGGAGAGATAGAGTAGATACGAAGCTGGTAGTGGATACCACACAGAGGGAAAAAAAAAAAAAAAAAAAAAAAGGACGAAGCGTACCGGACCTTATCTCTGCAGCCAGGGCCAGTGCAAGGGTTGCGTTGGAGATGAGGGGAGGCGGCAAGACGTGGTTGGAGGATATCAGACCATCATAGCAACAGGGTTGGAAATGAAATGATGATGGTACTGGACGAAAGCACCATCAGATGATGCCAAAAAGAGAGAGTGAGAGAGTGAGAGAGAGAGAGAGAGTGAGATGGAGAAAAAAAAATCCCCAAGAAAAGGTTCACGACTCCACTGCAACTCCAGAATTATGGGGAAGAATTGCGGAGAGAACCACACACTGATGGAATGGTAGATGGTAAATAATTAGTGAAGCCAATAGTTACAACTCTATAATCATCCCAAGCGATAATTTGATGGATGATACTCATGGATGGGAGTGAAAAGAGAGAGAGAGAGAGAGGTGACAGCCACGCGGAGGATCACGACTGCCACTGTGACAGGTGCAATGGAGTCGCGTGTCTTTAAAGCCCGAGGTGCATTAATATTATTAGATAGATTATTATTATCTACCACTCTACCACTCTTTTTCTCTCCGATTTGATCTCTCTGGCTTGGACTAACGCAAAGTCGTCTAAAGGAAAAAAAAAAGCGTACTACAGACGCTCAGCCAGTTAACTATCTAGTTGGTTGGTTGATTGTTATTGAACAACACCAGTTCGGAGGTATACATAGTACTACGTAGGTACTCGGTCAAAGATCCATCAGATGTCCATAGATAAGGTAGGAGATTATGATAGAATAGAATAAATCTAATATATATATATATATATATATTCCATCATCCATGAGACCTGAGACGACGAGGACAGAGGAATCCACTTCCACTGGACCTGATCTCCATATACTTGGTAGAGAAAGGCAACGGTAGCATCGGCCGTTTGCAGCTGTGTAACTGTCCGGGTGCAGGTTGGGGTGGTACTGTACCAACGAGTCACGAGCCATGCCTGAGGAACCAGAGGTAGTATTAATCAGGTCATCGATATCAGACTCAAAAATGATATTACTATTATTATTATTATTATTATTATTATTATCATTCATGAGGTGAGTCCTACCAAGTGAAATTTTAATAGCGAGCCATGTTGATATATCATCATTGAGATTTAGATTCATCTTCTCTTCATTTTTGATTGTCTAATTTGAAGGATCATGGATGGACAGTCGTACATAGTATGTATGAGTGTCGATTGAATTTTCATACACGAGTAGGTATGGTACTATATGGTTCGGTTTGCGGCGTATCTGTATTTCAATGTCAGATTACAGTATTGCCGTGTAAAACTGCTGAAACGACGCTCTATGTAACCCTCATGGCTGACATAACCCTATCTTTCACTCTCTCGCGATAGCAGCAGACAACAAAACAGTATGATGGGATTCCTCTATTCCTGCTAATCATCATCAAACGCATCCACGTGGAGTTCGAATAGAATTCTCGCAAGCCAACGTCCTCGTTGGTAGATCGTCGCAGCGAAGTAGTAGTATAGTAGTAGACTAGTACTGTGTGTGTGTGTGTGCATACATATGTGCAAGTCTGCCTCTCGCGATGTCACATCTCGTCGATTAAGCCATCTAAAGGCACCATTCAGTCCCGCCGTCCTCCCCTCCATGGAGCCCTTTTTTTCGGGTCCCCCTTGATGTCACTTATCATGTAGCGAGGCATATTATTGTCGCTCGCTTCTTCCATCCCCTCCATCAGATAGATACAGCGAAAAAAAGTCTAATCCTTTGGCACATCCGTGGATTCTGTTGCCTGATCCATACATATACTTGTTTCTCCCGCCCTGCTGGACATTGATCATTATTGTCTTAGATATCGACCATTATAGAGACCTCTTCGGTCATCCGCCATCGCCAAGAAGAACACCCCCTCCTACGCATCATTTCAGGACTCGTAAGAGATACCAGATTGCTTCATTATGCCTGGCAAAACAACCCCCACGCCGCGCATCACCAAATTTACCAACTGCCGCGTCGTCAAGGGCAAAGACCTGGTCGAGAAGGATGTATGGATTGATTCGCTGTCGGGCAAGATCCTCAAAGACCAAGAGGCCTTCTACGGCCTCCATCTCTCTCCGGACGAAATCATCGATCTCGGCGGGCGGATCCTGGCGCCCGGCCTCATCGATGTGCAGTTGAACGGTGCGCAGGGCTTTGATTTCTCGGTACCCCAAGCGTCCAAAGAGAAATATGATGAAGGGCTGCGCATGGTCAACAAGGGTCTTGCGCGGACTGGTGTGACGTCGTATCTGCCGACTGTGGTCAGCTCAACGCCAGAGGTGTACTGGAAGGTATGAGATTGATTTCCTGGCTGTGTTCTCCGAAAGCCCCGAGGGTGCGTCATTGGCGGTTGGGATTCTGACGAGGGTGACGCTCTGCAGGTGCTTCCATCATTAGGCCCATCGGGAAGTCATCATCGTGGTGAAGATGGTGCGGAATCGCTGGGCGCCCATGTAGAAGGGCCGTTTATTAGCCCCGGCCGCAATGGGATCCACAAGACTGAAGTACTCCGCGCGGCCGAGAGCTACGAAGACGTAGCAGAGTGTTACGGCAGAGAGAACCTGACTGGCAGCTCCAAGGCGATCAAGATGATCACCGCGGCACCCGAGGTGGGCAACATGATATCGAACATCCCTTCCTTGACGGCCGAGGGGATCATCTACTCCATCGGCCACTCGGACGCAACCTACGAACAGGCCCTCGCAGCCACCAGCGAAGGCGCCACCATGATCACCCATCTCTTCAACGCAATGCGGCCCTTCTACCATCGCAACCCGGGCATCTTCGGCCTGCTGGGCCAGAGTGAGCGCCGCCGGCCCTACTACGGCGTCATCGCCGACGGCATCCACCTCCACCCGACCTCCATCCGAATCGCATACAACGCCCACCCGGAAGGCCTGATCCTCGTCACCGACGCCATGAAACTCTGCGGCCTGCCCGACGGCGTCTACGACTGGACCAACGGCGAGCGCATCGTCAAGACCGGCGCCCGCCTGACCCTCGAGGGCTCGGACAAGATCGCCGGCAGCTCCGCCACCCTCATTGAGTGCGTGAACAATTTCCGGCGCTGGTCGGGTGCCTCGACGGCCGAGGCCCTCAACGCCGTCACGGCCACCCCCGCGCGGCTGCTGGGCCTGCAGGGCGTCAAGGGTACGCTCGACGGCGGCGCCGATGCCGATCTGGTCGTGCTGAGCGATGAGGAGCGCCCATTCTCAGAGCCCACTCTGACCGTCTGCCAGGTGTGGAAACGCGGTGTCAAAATCCACGATACGGGGTCTACTGACAAGGAGCTTGCTCTGTAAACGTAGGCAAGATCTCGCCAGTAATGCTTTGACGATCATGTCCCACATTTTTCTCTTTCCCTTCTAAGACGCTGTTCTGCCCATGTTGGCTCATGGAATCACTTCTTTATACGGTTCGGCCTTTTGATTAATTGTCACTCTGGCAAACCACAGTTATTGCTGCGGATCCATGACCTGTTTTGATCAATTCTTGATGAAGCAAACGAGAAACTACCAACATAGATATAGGAGAATTAGATAACAAGACTAGATGGAGCGATAGAAATAAATAGAATGACATCAAATCTGCCATTCCGTCGAATAAATTCCGGAGATCTAATGCTCACTATATTCCAATGTTTATGTCTATTCTGGTTATCTTTTTATACAAGCCCATAGATCCAGTCCACAGAAGAAAGATCCACAACTGTATGAGAGACAATATCTCCAAAAGATCTTCCGGGTCACCGAACAGCAGTACCCTTGAGATGAATGTTTAAAAAAAAAAAAAAGAACAATCCAGTCCAACCCCAGGCTAAAGAGGATCGATCCTGGATCTCTTCCCCCGCGCGCGCTCTTTTCTTGTGAATATCTTCTACCGCCAATATGTGATAAGCTTTCGTATCACTCATGACCTGGTATGAAATCACTTTTGATATGCCATGACGCCAAAATAGAAGCCCGAATCAAATAACGGGAAGATGTGAAAATATATCCGCCCGACATCGCTCGCTTGACCCGTCGCGCACCAGTAATCTAAAAGGGAGAAGCGGGTGCGACCATGTTTTTGCCGTTGGGCGCAGGTCGAACCATGCAATTTGAGGGTTTGCGCACAAATCTCACAGCTTGGGCTGCTCCCGGCTCCAACCCGCCTCTTCAGCAATGAGCTCGGCCGCCCGTTCGCCAACAGCCAGCACAGTCAACATCGGATTGATTGTGGGCATCTCGGGGAAGACACCGGCGTCTGCGATACGGACATTCTTCAATCCACGGATCTTAAGCTGATGGTCCACAACAGCCAGGGGGTCGCGGACGACGTCTCCCATCTTTGTCGTTCCGGCCGGGTGATAGACTGTGTGCGCCACACGGCGACCATACTCTGACAGTTCCTCGTCAGTCTGCGCTTGAGGTCCGGGCGCTACCTCACGCTTGATCCAGTCCTTGAACGGAGCCTGCTGGGCAATTTTACGGGCAGCCTTGAAACCAGCGACGATGGTAGCGGCATCGTAGCCCTCGGGATCCGTGAAATAGCGGAAATCCAGTGCCGGCTTCACAGAGGGATCTGCCGAGGTCAGGTAGAGACGACCACGGGAGCGAGGGCGGGGGATGTTCGGGGTCATGCAGAAGGCATCGACAGGAGTATCGTATCCCAAGCGGCTCGTGTTAAGGCAGAAAGGAATCTGGTAGCAGTGCATCATGAGATCAGCAGCGTTCCCGTCAGAACCAGCTGCATTGGGGACCTCGCGCCGCAAGAAGATGCCAGCATCTGAATCCATTGTGGTCTGGTTAGGAGGGACCGGACGGTTGAGCTCCCAAATAATGATACTCTCGGGATGATCAATAAGGTTCTCGCCAACACCCGGAAGGTCTTTGACCACCGGGATTCCAACAGATGTTAGTTGTTCACGAGGTCCCAGACCAGAAAGTAGCATCAGTCTCGGGGTATCAACGGCACCAGCACACAGGATGGTCTCCTTCTTGGCACGCAGGGTGTGCTTGACGCCGGATTGTAGCGTCACATCGACACCAGTCACAGAGTCTCCCTCGACATTCACGCGAGACACCCAGGCATTGGTCAAGATAGTCAGGTTGGGGCGCTTCTCTTCCCCACGCAGGATGGGGTGGATATAGGCCACGCTAGCGCTGCTGCGACGACCATCATCGGGGTTGTAGGAGACAGAGAAGAAACCAACACCTTCAGTCAATTGGCCCTTGGATCGGATTTCCTTGTTGAAATCGTGGATGACAGGGATGTTCATGGCAGTGGAACAAGACGCCACCCAGTCCTTGCACAGCTGGTTCCTATGACGGCTGTGGACAGGCTGAATGGTGTTCCGCAAGTTGTCGATAACGCGAGTGAAGGTCTCAAAGGACCAGCCCTTGCAGCCTTGCTCTTCCCATCTTCTGCAGTCATACTCAAAAGGACGGAAAGAGATGAGTGTGTTGTGGCTGGAGCAACCGCCCAGAACCTTGGCACGTGAGTGACGGATATGGCTGTTGCCTGGAAAGTAATAATAAAATCAGGATATGATGCTTTTTCTCACTATGAGATGTGTAGGGGAAAAGCGAGAACGGGTAGAAGCCCGCCAAGGTAACGCACCCATAGGCTGTTCAGTGGTGGGATAATCATAATCCAGCTCGCCTCCCAGGAGGTTGAGCCATTCCCTCAAATTCAGGACTCGGTCATCCATGAAGTCACTGGGACCTCCCTCGATGACCAGGATGCGCTTGTTGGGCAAATACTGAGCCAATCGACTGGCAATGACACAGCCAGCCGTGCCACCACCAACAATGACATAGTCGTAGCTATTGACATCGCTTGCGGGGAAATCGTTTGTAGTCGCCATGTTGAATGAAAATAGTCTGACCTACCTGGGAAGATGGCAAGGCTAGCGCATTATCAGCCCAGTAAAAAAGCGAGATTGATGTTTTTTGCCCGAGGGGAGAACGGGGAGGAGACGGCGTGAGAGAAGGAAATCAGGATAGTCGGATAGAAATTAAATACAAAAAAGAACGGGAATCAGCGGGGAGAAAAAGAGAGCGGATACATGCGCCTCAGGTGTCGGGGCGGCCACCGTTCGCCGGTAATGGCCACCAATCTTGGTCTTCCTTTCTCTCTTTCTGATTGATTTTTCTCCACCACAATCAGAGAGTTACCGTAAGGACACCGACCAATGATGGAGAAATATGCTCTTCTTGTGCCGAGGAGGAGAGACTATTCGACATTAGATAATGGAATGGGCGTGGAGGATGAGTTGTGAACTTGTGGCCTAATGTTGGCACTTGGCAGTTGCTCGTTGATCTTGAGTGACCCCATTCAGTGCTAAGTGCTAGAGGTAATGTACCTTTTCTGATATGTACCCCGTACCAACTACCGATCATCTATCTATAATTCTATATCCTGGCTCACCGTCAGATCTACAGGGATGAGGATACATGGGTACATGCTATCGACAGGCATGCAGGAGCTGAACACGGAGTGTGAGAGGACAAGCACCAAAGGCCCATCTTCTTACGTACAGCAAAACCTCGCAGCACATAACCCAGGCCAACAGTAAGAATGCTCCTATGCTGTATTCATCCGATGGGCTGTGAGACTGTGAGCTTTCTTCATTGTTATTTTTTTTTTTTTTTGGCAGCAAACGCCCTCGACGTCATCAAGGCCACTCCACAGTCCAGTCCACACGAGGCATTTTGAGACTAAACCGACGCCACGATCCCACAGATGCAGACTAAGACAGTCACTAACTCCATAACGGTTTGAAGATCCACCAGAGACTCATCGTCGAAGACGCCGCAAGAGAGAGAGAGAGATGATCTCTGGATAATATTGCCTGCTTGGTAGGTTGATAATGAGACAGCATGGGTTCTTTTCCCCCAAAAGTCACAGATCATGCTGCACTTCACTGAGGGGCTTCAGGTCTGCATAATATCCCTTGATTGAGTAAGATGCAGGACTTCCAGCCACAAACTTGGGGAAAGTGGATGAGTGTTGTCTTTCATTTCCGGTAGAATATTTCTCTTTAGTCGTCGACGCTGCTAGACCACCTTTTGCTTGGCTTTTCCAACCCATCTCAGACCTTCACATTTAAGTCCATCTTATTCGTACGGACCCAGCGTGCCAGGACAAGGAATTTGAACTAGGCTGCTAGCATGAAATTGAAGCAGGAGCTGATTTTCTGCCCTTCAGAGGTATCACTTTTTGCCTGAGCGTTTAGCCTTCCTGCTAGAAGTCTACACAAGGTGATGCTGCCGATATTCGACTCTTGGAAAAGCGTTCTCATATGAAGAAAGGTAAGAAGAATCGCCAACTCCCGGGAGATTTGGGGGATCTTGAATCAGTGGTCCATGCTTTGGATACGCGGATAACGGAGACCCATGAAAGTATCGCCGAGTGTAGCATAGCCAGACACCAGGGTAGATATTAGGATTTAGGAGAAAACCGAGGCGGGTTGGCGGTGTGGTGGAATGCTTTGCCGCTGATCGATTGATTGATTCATTATTGTCGCTCGGGTTTGGTTCCGAGGCATTTCACGTAGATCAAAGCATGACAGTATCGCAGGAATAATTCGAACCATCACCATCTATTCTTTGTGATCAATACTATACTCTTATCATATCATTTACTTCAAATACATTTCCCCCTCGCCTCTCGAACTTCGAGCAAAAATGACCACCTTCGCTTTTCCGCCTCGCCAGCTATACTACGATGGCAGAATCCAGCCTGCTTCATCCGGCAAGACTTTTCGTACCGTCGACCCGTCCAACAATACCCCACTAGCCGAGATCCAGGTCGCTTCGCCCTCTGATATAGATGCGGCTATTGCAGCTGCCGATCGCGCGTTCCCCTCATGGTCGCAGACACCGCCAATTGCTCGGGCGCGCATTCTCCAAAAGGCCGCGGCGTTGTTGCGGGAACGAAACGACGAGGTCGCGCGTGTCGAAACATTAGACTCTGGCAAGGCTTATACGGAAACGAGTACGGTCGATGTCGTGACCGGCGCGGATGTGTTGGAATACTATGCCAACCTGGTAGGAGGTGGCGGTCTGAATGGCGAGACGACCCAGTTGCGGGAGGACGCCTGGGTGTTCACGAAAAAGGCTCCCCTTGGAGTCTGCGTGGGCATCGGTGCATGGAACTATCCTATTCAAATGTAGGCCCTCCGTTTGGTTTATTTGAACTATTGACTGACAACGTGGCGCAGCGCTCTGTGGAAATCAGCCCCTTGTCTCGCCGCGGGCAACACCATGGTTTACAAGCCCAGCGAACACACTCCTCTCCACGCGCAAACCCTCGCTGAGATTTACCGGGAAGCTGGTCTTCCTGCGGGTGTGTTCAACGTTGTCTATGGCGCTGGCGATGTAGGCGCGAACTTGACGACGCACCCGTTAGTCGCCAAGGTCTCCTTCACGGGCCAGGTATCAACGGGAATGAAGGTGGCTGGCTCCGCCGCAGGAAACATGAAGTATGTGACGATGGAGCTGGGAGGCAAAAGTCCATTAATCGTCCTCCCCGATGCGGAGCTGGAGAATGCAGTGAACGGGGCCATGATGGCCAATTTCTACAGCACTGGCCAGGTATGCACAAACGGAACACGGGTCTTCGTCCCAAGAAGTATGAAGTCGGATTTCGAGAAGGCTCTCGTAGACAAGATGCAATATATCCGCCCCGGTCCCTTGTTCGACAACGCGACCAACTTTGGTCCCTTGAGTTCGGCTATTCACCTTGAAAAAGTGACCGCGTACATCCAGCACGGCATCGAAACCGACAAGGCGACCCTTCTCTATGGCGGACTTGGAAAGCCCTCGGTACCAAAGGAGTTGGAGAACGGTTTCTGGGTGCGGCCCACCATCTTCACGGATTGCACCGATTCCATGCGGATCGTCCAGGAAGAAATCTTCGGTCCGGTCATGTCCATCCTTTATTACGACACGGTCGAGGAGGCCGTGAGACGTGCAAACACTACCGAGCTTGGTCTTGCGGCGGGAGTCTTCACGCGTGACCTGAATATGGCGCATCGCATCATCGACCAGCTCCAAGCAGGTATCATGTGGATCAACACATGGGGAGAAAGCCCTGCTGAAATGGCCGTCGGCGGGTGGAAGAAGAGCGGTGTTGGCGTCGAAAATGGTCGCAGAGGTATAGAGGCTTGGGTGAGGAACAAGAGCACTCTGGTGGACATGAACGGGCAGGTCGCCACTGTGTTTGCGAAACTCTAGTTGTCACCTATCGATGATTAAATATGCATGGGGTGAAAGCGCCCTATGTAGTATTACCTCCAGAGGTGATATACAATCTTTTGGTGGTACGATTCATGAATCTGTAGCTATAAACACCCAACATTACTAACATTTGGGTATGATTGAAAGGAAATGAGGGGCTCAGGAATCATCATATGGCCTTTATATCATCAAGAAAATATAGAATCCCGTAGATTTGGTTTGCATACACAGTGACTTCTGAGTGCCCGTCTCCTGATCATATATATTCGTCATTTTAACAAAATCATCGTACCTATCAAAATGGCCATAAAGGCTCATATCTATATGCAAGGACCCAATGCCGCAATAAATCAAAGTAGATCCTCTAAAAGAAAGTGAGAATGGACTATACATTTATATAGCCCAGAAGCATAATATCCCAGAATCACAACAGCTAGTCTCTCAGCAGCCAAGCAATGTAAACCAACTTGTTGCACAATTGACCAGATTTGTCCAGCCATGAGCGATTGCAACACTTCAAATGTACTCTCATCAGCAAATTTGCCCTTCCGGCAACCCTGTCATGTCACTATCTGCTCAGGATCGAGGCTCCGTTCAGTGAGACGTAACTCTTGCACTCATGCGATCGAACATCATATCACCCTTGAGCGTTGAGTCTAGTCCACCAATAGCCGAGTCAGCCAGTCTGGAAGACATGCTGTCAGGTGTCAACTCGTCGTCCTCCACGGTATTGCGGAATTCCGTGTTGATTCTGAGATCGTTCAGAGCCTTCGGTGGTGTCGAAGCAGGAGTGGGCTGCTGCTGGGATTTGGCCACCCCAAGTGGAGCAGGCACATAAGTTTTCGGTGGATACACAAGAGGCGGGCCCTGGGTACGAGCGTCCGTTCCGGACTGCTCGATAGACTCGAAATATCGGACTGTCTTGACCTTGAGCTCCAAGGTGGCATCTCGATCGCATACAATGAGCAGGTGTCTGTGTAGTTGCAGCGCTGAAAGCGTCCACATGTGATTGATGCCTCCTTCGAGACCCTCCTTGAGCGCAAGAGCCTTGTGAGCTCCTGTGGCCACGATGACTACCTCCCGGGCCTCCATGATGGTCTGAATGCCCACAGTCAAGGCCTTTCGCGGTACCTTATCGATATCATTCTCAAAGAATCGGGAGTTCGCTAAGATTGTATCGTACGCCAGACTCTTGACCCGGGTTCGACTGCTTAATGATGAGCCTGGCTCGTTGAAAGCAATGTGTCCGTCCGGTCCAACACCGCCTAGGAAAAGCTCGATCCCGCCGTAACCAGCAATGCGAGCCTCGAACGAGGCACATTCAGCAACCAGATCCGGAGCATTCCCATCGAGGATGTTGATGTTTTGTGGTGGGATGTCGACATGCGAGAAAAAGTTCTTGTACATGAAGCTGTGATATGACTCTGGATGATCACGAGGCAAGCCCACATATTCATCCTATGTCCATTAGTATGTGTCAGATGAAGAAGATTATGTAGGCACAATCAAGGGGGATTTACCATGTTGAAGGTGACGACATTCTTGAACGAGATGTCGCCAGTCCTGTGGTGTTGTACTAGAATCTTGTATATAATCTCGGGGCTGCTGCCAGTAGGAAGGCCCAATACAAAAGGACGATCATGGGTCGGTTGGAAAGACTTGATGCGTTCTATAGGAAAGTGGAATTCTTGTGTCAGACTCGTGCAATAGATCAAAATCATTCCAGAACCAGGCAAGTTTCCACAGCTCTGCTCGAAATGGGAGGCACATACTAATAATGTAATCGGCAATGTACTCTGATGCCTGCTGGGCATTCTCTCTGATGATTACTCTCCTATGACAGGTTAGGATAATCCAAGAAAGAACCTACTTGCGAGGACTCGGTATCGGTGGAAAAGAGGCCGAAGAGAGATAGATATACGTACATGATGATAAGAGACCTCTCCTCAGCGGAACAACAGGCGAAGCAGCTTGAACCTTGAGCTGAAGAAACCGATAGGACGATGTACAGCCGTTACGATATGAAAGTATTCGGCTATGACGTTGTTCGTGGGAGTCGGGGATACAATATAATCAACAAAGGAGCTACATGCAAAATCCAAACTGGCGAAGCGGAGATGTGTGCTGTTTTGTAGAGAAGGATGACATGATCCCCCAAGTGCTAGGCTGAGCAATGAATTTAATTCCCGCCTCACTGTCCATGGATCTGTTACAACTCACTCGAGCACTCGAACTCTGAAGGAGTCTGGATCGGCTGGTGGAGTATGACAGGGTGATACTGCCTACGTGCACTAGTCCTGCACTCCTGCTACTTCTCTGGATTTCTACAACTCTTATATGATAAGGTATGATTATCATTACTTGAAACTGATTACCTTCCTAAAATTCTAGAGAAGGATCCGCCCTCTGTGACCTTCTGAGTCCATGCACATTCTCAAAAGCAAGAGAATCTATGGGCAGTTATGATAGTGATCAGGGAACATGAGACTATGATGAAAAATGTATATATTCAAATCAGGTATTCGGAATCCTACCATCCACTCACTCGATATGCACATTATCTGGCTGCCTACCAGCCTTTCACAGGTTTCGCAGGCCCATCTAAGAGCAAATCCCAGAACCCGTGGGTTGATCCGTTGTAGATGACGCATCCACCTCTGACGAAGTCTTTGTTGCAGAGCCCAAAGATGATACTGGGAGATCCAATCAGAAAGCGCTATGCAGAAATGTGAATATGCTTTGTCCATTGACTAGAGAGACAGGCGATGATAATGTTCACAGTGGAGGGAAAGGTGTCATCTTGCCGGTGATCAATCTGATGATGTTGCAGACAAAGGTGGCAGACAGACAGGTGAGTGCCTACGGATGGGATTGGGGGGGGGGACTGGATCTTCCCAACCAGAAAAGAATGCTATAGTGTCCCAAGTTGCTACCTACTTTAGGTAAGGTATCTATCTTTCTATAGACATAGTAGGTAATTAATCAGATAGTTGATTGATAGATACTCTTCATGGGCACAAGACTTGATCTCCACTGTTGCATTCGGTGGAATCGGAAAACCCGGGGAAGAGTGCAACCTTACCCTTTACCGTGCTTATCTGTACTGGGGGGAGTGGCGTCTGTTTGATTACGGTATCAGTACGATACAGTATGTAATGTTGTTTGATACCATCTTCTGCATTTACCAGCATGAAACACCCATTCCTCCTTTGACTTCAGATCATGTGAGGGTAAATCCAACACTCTCTCAGTCTCGTGTATGGAGAACAATAATATTGGTGGTCGTGTTGGCGATAGTTATATGAAAGGATATTTGCTAGGTACTGATTCATGAGAACCAACGGGTTACACCAGATACACCATCAAACTTATATCTCACGTCTCATATTATTATTATCAAAGCGGAAATGAAGGGTTTACGCTTATAATGATTGGCCTGACTCGCTTGCTTGTGATTCTCATGCTTGCTGATATTTGTCGACACCGGATCGGAAGCCGATAAGTCCATCATCAATTCATCCATGCCATTTTGTTATCTATCCTCAGTAAGTAATCAAATCATCAAGCAGTATCGATTTACCTTGCTGAACCACTGAGTCACTGACTGACTAGGAAGGATATCACCAAAGACGAGCAAGGTAATAATCATCCCAGATCCACCCCGTCCAAGTAGATTTAGTAGGAGTACCTTGGCTACGATCCTCTGAGGTACTGTGTCTGGAATCCGAATACTGGATCAACTGGAGCTCTACCCACACTGCACAGTCCACACAGTCAGGCTGCACTCTGTATTGCTACAGGTTAAGCCACCAAGCTCCCTAAGCTCCCAAGTGTTCGGACTTATGGGGTCCTAGCGGGAACTACCTTAGCTACCAGTTAATGTACCGAGTACCGACTACCTATCTATCTACCAGCTTACCTCACTGTTAACTATTTCTGTTTCGCATACGCCTTTGGTGTCACCCAGTTGGATTCCGGCTTCGAGAGCTTAATTCGACCGCCGTTTCTGGTTGCTTGTTGGTTGCAAACGTCGTTCTGTGGTATCCGTGGCAGAAACACCGTCACTTCTCCCCCCAATTATCGTCAACAACAAACTTGAGACCTCGGCGATTAACTCACCAGAGTCAACACATCCACCATTTCCACCGGCTGTTGCACTTGCATTCCTCAGATCGGGTCCAGATGGCCCCGAAAGAGGACATGCTGCCCCCTGGTTGGGAGGATTTAGACAGGTAGGTCGTTCGCTGGCCTCTTGGCATCTATTTTTTTTTTATTTTTTTTTTTTGTTCCATTTGTCTTCGCTTCCTTCTCACTCTTATTGCCTATTATCCCCCTATATCTTGTTCGGGATAGTTTCGAACTGCTCCCACATCATCGCCTGCCCTTATTCTCTTCCTACTTCTACCTCGCTTCTTCTTGATTTCTACCCTATGGCTGGTTATTCCACTTTCGGAGACTACACCATGTCTATCAGCGACCCCCATCTTGCCGCCGCTTTGTCCTCACCTCCTGACGACTAGAAACATGGCTGACTGTTTGGTCTCAATCCCATTTGTCCTCTATGCAGGCAGATGGGGCAGCTCTTCATGATGGGCTTTGACGGAACTTCGGTCAATCCTGAAATCCGTTCTCTGATCGAGAATTACCACCTGGGCTCGGTTTTGTTGACCGCTAAAAACTTGAAATGTATTGGGATTCTACCTTTCACTTATCTTTTTCAGAGTCTTTCCGATGGACGATTCTTCTGCTTTCTGTTTGCTTGTATAAGCTCAGGCTTTGGCTAACGAACTGGTTGGCACGCAGCTGCAGAAGAGGCAACGCGCTTAGTCCTGGAGCTCCAAACAATTGCCCGAGATGCCGGCCATCGAGTTCCTCTTCTGATCGCCCTAGACCAGGAAAATGGCGGCGTGAACAGCTTGTACGATGAAATCTACATTCGCCAGTTTCCTAGTGCAATGGGCATCGCAGCGACTGGATCCAAGGCATTGGCTCATGATGTCGCGTTCGCTACCGCTCAAGAGCTCAAGGCTGTTGGAGTCAATTGGATCCTTGGCCCCGTTCTGGATGTGTTGACCAACGTACGAAAGCAGCCTCTGGGTGTCCGAACTAGTGGCGACGATCCCCAGGAGGTGTCGCAATATGGCGTTGAATTCATGAAGGGTTACCAGGAAGCAGGGCTGGTCACATGTGGCAAGCACTTTCCCTCTTACGGCAATCTGGAATTTCTGGGTTCTCAGACGGACGTCCCGATCATCACCGAGTCACTAGAACAGCTCAGCTTGACCGCATTGGTCCCGTTCCGAAATGCCATCATCCACGGTTTAGATTCAATGATGGTCGGAGGCGTCTCCATGTCATCTGCGGGCGTAAATGTCATGCACGCTTGTTTGAGTGAACAAGTTGTTGACGATTTGTTGCGGAAAGACCTGAAGTTCAACGGGGTAGTCGTTTCAGAATGCCTCGAAATGGAGGCGCTTACACACAATATCGGAGTTGGCGGGGGAACAGTAATGGCAAAGAACGCAGGATGTGATATCATTCTCTTGTGCAGATCCTTCCCAGTGCAGCAGGAGGCCATCAATGGACTGAAAGTAGGAGTTGAAAATGGCATCCTGGGCCGAGCTCGAATAGAGCAATCGCTGCGCAGGGTCTTGGCCATGAAGGCGAGATGCACCTCTTGGGAACAGGCTCTGAATCCTCCGGGTCTGTCGTCTCTCACACAAATGCAGCCATCCCATACTAGCTTGTCCAAGAGGGCATATAACAGTTCGATTTCTGTTATACGTGACAAGCAGAATCTTCTTCCGCTCTCCAACATTATCGAGCCCAACGAGGAGCTGCTGCTGTTGACTCCTCTGGTGAAGCCGTTACCCGCGTCCGCAGTATCTCGATCAGTGACCGAGCATGTCAATCCTTCCCTTGACCCAATCGCTTGGGATCGAACCGCGTCTGTTCTGAGTGGGGAAAGTGTGTTCAAGGAACTGGGTCGATCTCTCTCGCGTCAGAGAAGTGGGCGAGTCCTACATACCTCTTATACGGCTAACGGTGTTCGGCCTATCCACGAGAACCTAATAGACCGTGCTAGTGCCGTCATCATCGTCACGGCAGATGCGAACCGGAATATGTATCAGCACGGGTTTACGAAACATGTATCCTTGATATGTAGGTCTCAATTCACTCCGTCCGGTGAGCCTCGAGAAAAGCCGGTGATTGTCGTGGCTGCTAGTTCTCCTTACGACTTTGCCATGGATCCGACCATTGGGACTTATATCTGCACATATGATTTCACAGAGACTGCCTTGGAGGCGTTGGTCAAAGTCCTGTATGGAGAACTTACCCCCAAAGGCTCATTGCCGGGTTCTATTAGCCGCAGCCAGAAGCTTCACCAAGCACGGCAGCACTGGCTCGTGGAGAGCTGGAATGAGGAACGAGACGCAGAAGCTTTGGACGCTTTGCTTGACGCAGTCAGAGATAATTGTGCGCAAGGTCAGCGCTCCGAGTTGTTGGGTGCGTCATCCAGCAGCTTCTTGCTGCGAAGAGAAGAAATCGACGAGGCACATTTCGTTGTCCGGAACAGTAGTACACAAGCTTTATATGGATTCTGCTCGACCTATTTCTTCAGGTCTACCGGTACTGGCGTTATTGGGTCTCTGATTGTGGATCCTGCAAGACGGAAATTGTCAATTGGGACTTCCTTGCATAATCGTGCAATTCGAACGCTCCTGCAGCGAAAGGGCATGCGGCGATTCCAATTGGGATCGCGTCTTCCAGGTATATTTCTGGGCGTCCCGTCATCCAATTCGGTCGAACGAAAAAGGTTACGACAGTGGTTCGCGAATTTAGGCTGGAACACTGCCCTTTCGCGACCCGTTTGTAGTGTTGTGCTACGCAATCTATCAACATGGGCACCGCCGGACGGTCTTATTCAAGCAGTGAAGAATACGGATGTGGCCTATGACCTGGTTTACGGGTGGGATTATGCTGAACCTGTCCTAGATCATGTCAGAACCCATTCCCGACAGGGACTGATCGACATCTACAAGATTGCCTTGGGGGGAGCACCCAACTGCGGGATCATCAGAGCAACGCGTCCAGATGATGGGGCAATCCTGGGTACCGTGGTCATATATAATGGACGGGCCCCCTTAGCCGAATATATGCCTGCCCTGAGAGCCACACGTACCTTGACTGGAGGTATATCGTCGCCGGTCATCTCGCCATCCGTTGGAGAGTATGCTACCGTGATGCAGGGCCTGGTTCTTTTGGGTATCAAACAGATCCGTAAACAAGGTGCAGATGCGGTACTCATGGACTGCGTAAGTGCTGCCCCATGTCTCCCCCCTCGTCTGTTTGTTCTAGCTGTTTCGGTGTGGTAACACTTTGTCTTTTTGACTATAGGTCGATGGCGACAGTAACTTCGATTGTCTTTCCGGGATGGGGTTCAGTATGCTTCATAGTTTTGAAGAAGTCAACTGTGATGCGACGACTTGGACCCTGATGCCAGCATCGTAGCGGACCAGGCTCTGTTTCTCTTCTTTCTGAGTTTCTCGTCTTTCCAACATGACTTATGATATCCATTTCTTATCTTGGTCCTTTTTGCGTTTTTAGTCGCCCGTCCGGCATCGTTTGCCTGGGGTTTGCCAATCGTGTGGCTTCTTTTCCTTCATTCCCACTTCACTACATGTTCGCTCTCCGCTTGGGTAAGAGTTGTGGCGGCGGAGTGGCTGGCCCATCGTATACTTATTTTCCAACTGTATTTTGGCCTCTTCTCTAAACACTCTCGCTGCCAATATCTTCTGTATTTAGCTTCTTCCGACGAAGAATGAAACTGGCATATACAGGAAGGTAGACAGGTAGCATCCTCGTCTCAGTCCTTTCTAAGAGCACTCGACATTCAAAATTTGTAAAAGAAAGAATTCAGCCCATGAAGACCATGAAGACCCTCCCCTCGAAGATCCACCCAGGAATTGACTTTGTCTCTCCTGAGGAAAATCCATCTCAGGCCCAGAACGGCTGATCCCACTACGTCCCCACGATATAAAGATAGATCTGTCGATGCGGTCTCAATGCGGCCGACCCGGCCACCGAAGCAGAACCGCTAGAGGGCATTTCGGACTCAGACAGGGCCCAGATCCTGAGATACCGTCTCGACTCTCGAGACAATGAGGATTTTACTGGATAGATGTGTGCTGGTTTCGGATCCCCCCAAGCACAGTGTTTGGTAGTCGGTACTTGGTGCTGCTTACTCCGTACGGGTGAAGATCCAAAGCGAACTGTGGAGCTGTCTAAATGCATCAGCCATGCAAGACAAAGCGGCGCTGGCCATTCCCTTCTTTCAAATCTATCATCTATCTACCATCTAGATACTATCTGCTACCCCTGGTAGGATGGTACCACGGAGAGATATCCGATCGAGGATGGCCGATCATGAAACTTGTCTACGGAGTATCTTCGTATGGGTACTTAGATACGTGGTGAACTATCGTCTTCGTTGCTGCAGGCCAAGTCAATCAACGCGCCCTCCACTTACTTGAATGTTGGGAACCTGCATTATAACAATTATTAACATTCACACAGAATATTTTTTATTTTATAATAACGAATCACCTTGCCTTGAAGTGCTGGAATCAGTATTTATTTGACGTAAGCTCAGTAATCAATGAGATGTATTGTATTACAAGTAGGTACCGTCACTATTATTGCAATACTTTACAGAGCAGCACTCTCTGTTATGAATGTTCATACCTTGGTATTAGTAGTATTGTTATTAAGTGCGTTATGAAGGATCTTCGGGGCAAAACTGCTGAAAGTCTAAAAATGGCGAGGTGTCACACAGACAAGTTTTATTAACCAGTTACCTAGGCTCACCACATTCACTTGTGACAGTGATTAAAGCAGCAACTAGTTAGTTACACATACATGGAGTCCAACATGCTTTTCAGGATACCTGCAGCCGCACGTTGCGCCTAAAAGGAGTTGCTGTGAGTAGTACAAAATGGTTCTAGAAGTATACCACAACAAGTAATCATCTGACGATCAGAATGATGCTATCTTGTGGCAAAATGGCAAAAGCCATGACGATGAGACTTATGACTTCCCCCTCCCCCCCAGGCCCCAATGCAATATCCCTGTCTGACTGTGCAGTGTGCACTCTTCAAGAGAATAGGGATATCAAGTATCAACAGGGATAGCCATTGTGAGCAACTAGCCAACTACGCTTTCCCCCGCCCGACCCTATCCAGTATACAGTAGTCTTGGTGCTGATCCCATCGTCCCATAGTTAGCATGTCACAAGTCACGGTCCCCGACCCACAGACCCTCCAGCCAGTCTAGCCTAAAGCACTTCCAGCCTAGCTCCGGTATGGAACATTCAACCTACGAGACGGCAGTGGCTGATGAGTGGTAATTATGAATGCACACACGGAATCACGACTGATCCGGTAACGTCTTCCGTTGTTTTGGCCTCAGACACAAAGCAGCCGAATCCAGCCAATGATTCGACGAACTACAGGAAAGGACTGGTTTTGGCCCCCAATCAATACTGTCGATACTCGATACTTACTGAATACGCCGCATCTTACCAGAGTAGGTACTGTACGTACTCAACGTGTAATTTACCAATCTACTTCCGTTGTGCAAACTACCCACGTGATGCTGTGGAAGGTATCTTGGCCTTGTATAGATACTAGGTATGGTACCTAGGTCACCCAGTCGAGAATATGCATAAGTAAGAGTACGAAAATCTACTGGACGAAATACGGAAGACGTACCCAGGTACCTAGGTAGGTAGGTAGCTTTGAAAGTCGCTCTCCATGATCGTGATTGGCTGGCTGCATTCATCTCGCCCAAGGTTGAACCCTGAAGGAAATAACCTACAACGAAGGCAAGTACTATCCTATCTTGACACCTTAGTAGTACTCAGGTAGTAGGACCGAAGGTGAACCGGAATTCCAACCCGAAAGACTAAAGGCATCCCCCGAAGGGCTGCTTCCGCTGATCTAGAAATAGAGTCTTTTTAATTTTTTTTTTATTTTATTTTTATGTTTATAGAAGTGGTCAAGGTAGAGTCTAGGGCATGAAGGATGTGTGTTTGATATTGAGATTAGTCTAGATCTGTACTCATCAAGGGTATTTTCCTCGTCTCTTACTTTCGCTTCTCACGCAGGGTCTGTAAGTAAACAATGCCCTCGTAACCATCAGGAAAAGAAGATCATTATTGAATAAGCTTTGATGTAATATTAAGTACTCCGTAATAAGAACCCACAAGGCCACAACTGAAGGTTTCCATGTGATATTAGGTTTAGTGTACTACGTCTAGATACGGAAGACGGAGTACGGATGCGGGCAATGTTATTGCTATCTATTGCCTGGCTGTCCGCTGCCAGCCAGAGGCCCAGAGGCTCAGAGCCAGGTACTGACACTGGCACTGGCGGCCTTGAGCCCAGGCTCTGTAGGGGTCATGATCATAACCAAAGAAAGGCTTCAAAGCTGTACGGAGTACTCCGTAGACCCATCTATTATTATGGAGATGAAGTTCAAGCTCTCGTTCATGGAAGGGGACGAGCACAGAAACTATTACGATCAAGTAACGACAGAAAAAAAAAGCCGTCTCATTGCTTTCCCCAGGTTTAGAAGTGGCTGTTCGTCACTTCTTGGGAACTGTGAGCCTGCGACCCCCAATTTGGAAGGTCCTTAAAATAGCGCCAAGCCGGGATAATTTTGCACTTGGTGTGGCCGTGTGGGGAACTTGGGTACTCAGCAGCTTCCCTGGTCATACTCCGTAGACTCGTATCATATACACAAAGAATACCTTGGCCTGGTTAGCTGTATGGAAATGTGGAAATGCTTCCTTAGATATGGATGTATCCAGTGAAGGGAAGGTATGCCTGATTGGCAAAAAGATAACACCAAGATTATTATCATCTCCCAGGTCGTTATCTCTAGTAAGGATATCTTAAACAGGGTTTCCAAGTTTCAATCATTCATTTACTGAATGAAGTGGACTAGTCCGGTCGAGAATAGAGAGGTGCTGGTTGCAGACTTGCAGGAGTTGATCAAGAGGTCAATCAACTGTGTGTGGACTGATGGCTCAAGGGTTGTGTCTGGTAGGCTGCTTTCTTTCTTGTCGGTGGTGGCATCTCCATTCTCCACATCTTCAACAACAATACATTGTAATAAGGTGATCTTGATCGGTTTACTTTCTTCTGGAACTACTCGCTAGCTACCTATCTTATCCCATGTTCAGATTCCTCTAATCATATCCTGATTCATCTCTCCCAGAGTCCCCAATAGTAGCTTAGTACGTACCGGTATAACAGGTTGAATACATAATAAGTATTGTACTACTACCTATTCTACATGGTTGTAGTTTCTTGGATCTCCAATTCTCGAATTTCGTCATACAATAAAATCAGGCCAAAAAAAACACCAGAGTTGAGGTAAAAGGAAAAAAAAAAAGAAAGAAAGAAAGAAAGAAATGAATTGGCTGATGGACGCTAAAAAAGCCTAAAAGAAGCTAGCGACGCATCTTTCCTCATGATCTGGTGTCTAAAGGTTCTTACTGCAGTCTTCCCCCTGTTCTAGAAAAAATCCCGCGAGGAGAAGGATGAGTTAATTCTGTTGAGGTCGGAGAAAGAGCATTAAGAGCCTTCAATGACGGACCTACCATATAAATGTAGGTTGCTACTCCTAGGTCCCCGCTACGCTACCCGATAACTGTGAACTGATATGGATAAAAAAACAAAGAGCAATCCCTGGGCTATCCATGGGATTGGGGGGGGTACCCTGATGAATGCAGCATGAGGAGGTAAGTCCATCCAATAATATCATACAGAGAAAGCCTTGGGCACAGTCCCTAGTCGGCCAATGGATGTATGTACTTACTTCCATATGGGAAGTCTTCAAGATGATATCTAGATGGAAGTATTTGCTCTAATCTCAAATCACCGATAAGGAAATCAGTCCACTTTTCCATTTCTCTTCAGTCTCCACTTCAGGTCTTCCGAATTCAAACCAATTGGCCGTCTTCGGCTGCTGTACAGAGTATTTCTTTGCTGTTCATCGGTCATTCACAGGGAACATTGAATGTATTGAAAGATGTATATAAGTAATCCAAATGCGCAACAAGACTTGTTCTGGTCTGTTTAGAATGATCCAGATGGACCCGTCGACCCTTCCTCCTCATAATATATTACCAGGCCTAGAAGTACTAGGTTCAGCATACCTACTTATCTACCTAGGTACCGTAGTTGTGTATTAAGGTAATGTCAGTGAATAATTACAGGAACACTAGTTACTAGGTAGTGGCTGTTTGAACATATAATCTCTTAGTGCCTCCTCCATACTTGACTTTTACTTTATCTCAGGCAAGTCCCGGAGGCCCTCGAGGGAATTGGTCCACTTTCTACTGAATTCAGCAAATACTCTCTCTCTCTCTCTCTCTCTTGCTGTGTGTGTGTTGTACTCTTCCACCAATTTCCATTCATCCTCAATCATAGAAGGTATCCATGTAGGTGAGAGGTAACTTGGTAATGTACAAAGGTTACATACCGTTTGACTGTACACCATACAGACTTCTTGTACCTACTCTGTACCTTACATTCTCTGTCTGGGTGTACTCTAATGTGAGAAGAGGGAGGAAAAAAAAAAAAAAAAAGGAAAAGAGAAAAACCGGATATTCTCCCATTCTTCTTTCTCTGACCTCTACTTACTAAGAGGGTGGAAAATAAGAATCCTAATCATTTAATCATTTCTACCGGGTCCGTCTAGGTAGTTCCACCTACTCTATCTATCCTACCTACGGTAGTCCTCTCCAATACGCGCAAGTACCTACAATACACGATCGCTTGTTGTTTCTTCGCCTGCATTGGTTCCCGCTGAACTGACTCCGGATCGCCCTTCGCGTCTTTCGGGGCGGTTTTTGTGGATTTCCCTCCTCTTTTAATTTTAGGTCTTAACTCTTAAGACCTCGATCCCCTCCACCTACGACAAAGTACCACTTAGCTACAGAGTACTTATCACTACTAGCAACTGCTGTCAGTTTTACTCTGTTAGTTGTATTTGGTGGTGAAGGAAGGCAGCTGTCGAGTACTGACTTACCCAAGTACTACTACTTACTACTACTACTACTACTACTACTTATTACTACTAGTACTGGTACTACTTCTACTTCTACTTCTACTCCGACTTCTTCTACTTCTGCTAGTACAACTACTAGACTACTTACAATGCTTGCATACTTCTTCCTGCGTTCACATTAATTCACCTGATTGATTCACTTACCACCTTCCTGCCTTGCCTATCTCAATAATATCACCCATCTTGTCCCTCTTCCATATCTACTTACCCCTCTTGGACTCTCTCTCTCTCTCTCTCCCTCTCTCTCCCTCTCTCCCTCTCGCGCGCGCAATTTACCACATTCATCCTATTTATCTCACTATCTCTCTACCGATCCTCCTCATTTCCCTCCATGCCCTTTTCCACTTAGGCTTTTCTCGCGTCTTCCAGCGCCCCGATAACTCCTGGTCACTCCACCCTCTTAATATATCTGTCATTCCTCCTCTCTTCTCGGACTCAAAAAGTCTGCCCCCGTCTCTTTCTCTCCGTTTTCTTTTCCTCGGAGTCTCAGTCTTTCGTTTCATCCGCGCGCTACAACTGCCATCCACCAACGTCTTTGGTATCTCCCTCAATACTCTAAACCCCACTCCTGCGCAAACGAAAACCGCGCTCTCCCCGTCTCTATATTGGTCGCCTTAGTGTTATCAGACGTTGCCCGCGCCATGGAGGGCTTCGATACCATGGCCATGCCATATCTGGCCAGCCCGCTGTCGCTTGGAAATATCCAGGGCGCCGATTATCTCAATGCCATGCCTGGGATCGATATACCGGAACAACGCTCGAATTTTGACTCGGATACATTCGTCAGGTGAGTATTCGAGTCTTCGCGTATTTCCTGAAACCACCACCCGTTTCTCAGAGCGCCATATTGACCGTGTCTTTCTCATAGTGGTGAGGATATTCCCTATCCTCAGCATAATTTACCGGCGACATTGAAACGCTTCCCCTCAGGGTATGAAGATCCCTTCACAGAAATGGTGACGCCATTCGCCCCTACACCATCCGAACAGCCTGCAGACTCATCCATCGACCACAATCATAAGTTGCTTTGCTTCTCGATACCGGTGTACAATTTTACATTACTCGATTATTCGTTGCGACGGACATCCATATCGTTATCAGCCCAACTTCATGGCATGTTCTTCCTTGCGGAGTCGCCATGGACCACGTCCCCAACAGAAAACGCTCCGCCGCAACAAGGGGCGGAATTGACATGCTACCGCCGCAATCTCTTTCAGATCACAGGTTCCGTGACCCTGCCACGCAGCCTGCGCTACATAATGACTGAGCAGGGGGACCGTATACCTATTCTTGCGCATGAACTCGCTGTTTCCGCCACAGAGTCTGTGGAGGGTAATTCAGTGAAGATTATCTCGGTACCCTGGAAAACACCCGCTGCGAACAGTAACCCGCTCCCCGATGACAGCGGCGCAACTAGCAATAATGCAAAAGTTGAGAAAGAGCCGCCAGCAATCCCATTGGACACAATGGCGGGTCAAGATCTAGACACTGACTACGCTACCTTTCCCATTGCTTGGAAGCGGCTTCAGTTCCGTGTTGCCACAGCCAATAACGGACGAAGGAAAGAGCTACAGCAGCACTTTGTCGTCAGACTCAAGGTGATTGCCACACTCTCTACGGGGGCTAAAATTCCGATCTGCGAGGTTCACTCTGGACCGGTGATCGTCCGTGGCCGAAGTCCACGCAATTTTCAGTCTCGTAAGGATCTGCCTCTTAGTGGCAGCGCGGCTGCTTCGAGGAAAAGCGCCCAAGCCGCGGCTCTCAATCGCACACCCACCACTGAGTCCATTCCCCGAACCGGCTTGAGCGCGGCTAAAGCAAAATCCGCTGTCAAGAGTGCCTCGCCAGAAACAACTATCCCTCAAGCTGTCGTTGGACCCCGGCAACAGTCGTCTCCTGATTGGACGCATATACCGCAGTCCTCAGGCGGCACCCTCTCTTCTGCGGCGTTACCACAATCTTCGGTGTATCCACAGTCTAATCCAGAGTTTTCAAGACCGGATAGTCAAAGACGATCAAGTGCAATGGCGGCCCCCATTAACCTTTCCCTATTGGACGATGACAATACTGGCGAGGCTGTCAGCTTGGTGAATCCAACTGACCCGACTTCATACACCAACGATGTCTCACAGCGCCACCATGAGATAGGCACCTCTGCACCTCCCGCCAAGATGCGCAAATTATCTCATGGGGTGTCCCACGCTCAATCACGAAGCACGTCTACGTCTCTACCCTTATTGAATACCGCCGGCCTGCAACAACCTTTTGCGTCCACTCTCCCCTTTCCGAACGAGAGTGCTGACTTGCTATACGAATACTTCCCTCTGGGCTTGGATGATTGGCAGGCACCTGTGGATGCGGTCTACCGACCGCATGTGGTCCATCACACCAATATGCCAGAAATGAAATTTGTCGCTGCTAGAGGCCGAAGTAAACGGTATTTTGCTGCAGAAGATGTTTTCTAAGAAATCTTGAAGTAGGATCTTCCGGGCATCGCGCTATTCCCCCTCTATATTAGCGACACGGTCTTTTTCATGGCCGAGAGATTACCGGCAACGAGTCTTGGGCTTTGGTTGTATTGGGATGTGTCATGCTCTGTTCAGGTCTCATCCCCACACTCCTGTTTTGTCTGATTATATTCCTTTGATTATTTCTTTCACTTTTCTTGCTGGCGCTTTGTGTCAGTAATCTCGTTTCGAATGGGCCGGAACAAAACGTTCGAAATCTTCATGGATATCTTATGTACGGATATGGGATTCATTCTAGTTGTAAAGGTCCGTTCCGGTGTGATGGAGTTGAACTCATGATGATGGGAGGATTATCGAACCCTTCCTTGCTTTCTTCTTTACTGATTTGAACATTTCTCTTTCTATATCTTCATCGGGTTCATGTTACTTGAAGTGCATATATCTCACTGTTTCATGATGCCATGCTCCTAGAAGACTGATGTCCCCGGCCGGGAAAGAATCAATGGGTCCTATGAAGCATTCTTCTTCAATTAATTACCTTTAAAGGCTATCTCCTTGCCGGTTCCACTCAGACCGGGGAAATCTCCTATGACAGGCCGTTATAATAGTATCGCATCATTGTTGATGGATTCACTCTATCCAGTCATTGGGCACTTGGTTTCCTCATAAGTATCCCAGTCCATCGCCACCAACGGCCTCGAGATCCGCCTTGATTTCCCATTCATGAGCCCCAACCCGTGCGGCAATCTCCATTCTGCGTTGCTTGCTCATGCTCAACCATTGGTATAGAAGATTCCCATCAAGCATGCCCCTTCCTGCCGTTCCATCACTTTCGATGGCACGGTAGGCTCGGGGGTTCAACCCGCACGGATGCTCCACGGTATTTGCCAATTGGGACTGTAGCGCTGACAGACGACGATATGACTCCTCTGGAATGGATGTGACGATACCAATAGAACCACTTTGGGAAGTGATGAGTACTTGCTGGGGTGTAATTCGAGGATCGACTTCCATCGAATCTGAATCCGCTGAGGGGATCTCGTAAGAGGCAGTGGTGCGAGGCAACAAAGTCAGGGTCGAGGTGAAGTGTCCCATGTGGAATTTACTGCGAACTAGCAATTTGTCGCCGTTTGAAGACATGGGATCTATTTGGGATCAGTGAATACTGCTTTCGGCGCCGTCAATACCATTGGGACTTACCTTCCGGTTCGTACTGTAAGACATGGAGATTGCAATCACTATCAGCGACCAGGATGAACAGCTTGTCGCCGTCAGGAAGAAAATCCGCGGCCACAACCTCGGGATATTCCAGGTCTTTCCCAAACAGACTCATCTTGTATGGCTCCTCCTAAGAACACGCATCAGCACAATAATTTCGCATCTGAACGGGAGTAGGGGAAATACCGAGTAACCTGCGAACCAAATTCCTTTGAAGGCGTCTCCCACTATACACATTCCAGTGCCTTTCAGCTCTTTTAGCACATTGACGTAACACTGCACATCCATGAAGGCAACAGGAAGGAGACTGCCATCCTCTTTGAGGCCTCGGACCATACACTTCTGCCCTTGCGCAGCAATCAAGAATCCCTGACCACCAATCTCCGACAAAGCAGTCACAGCTCCTTTGACCAGCTCTTTGCCTATGAGTTTCAACTTCCGGTCCGTTTCGGGTTTCTCAGGGTCAGGAACCACTTTAATCACTTCAAAAACATAGATACAACCACGTGCAGGTATGTCTTCACCGCGCGCAAGAGCTGTTCCCACAACAATCATATTCTTACGCTCATGGGTATTCTCCGAAACCTCAAGGTTCATATTCTTCACGGCCATGATTTCTTCATCAGGACCTAGCGTATAGCTTCATAGTGCGGGCGACGTCGTAAGCAAGCGAAACCCATTCAAGTTTTTTCAAGATACATACCTGTCAATGACAGTCCATGTTTTGGGGTGCACAACTTTGAGACAGCATTGGCGTAATTCGGGAAGAAACGAGATGGCTAGAACATGTCAGTGCGTACTATTTGATGGGCAATTATCAGGCAAACCTTCGTTCCGCCATTCCGGGTGTAATTCGTCATCTTCGGGCAATTTGAAATCTGCACTATGACTGGTGCCCAATACATACGTCTCGGACGATATAGAGTAAGCTAGGTGATCCACATGTTCGCCGATAGCAACTTTCTTTAAGGTCCACGAGTAATCATATATTGTCTCAGGTGGCAACTGGCAAATGCGAACGACATCCTATTGATTCCGTTAGCCCGTTTTGAACAATCGTGAGGGAGGTAGAAACACTTTTGAATCCACATAGATGAATCCTCTCCCCAACGAAGGGTCAGTGAAGTCGAAATCGCTCAGGCTGCGAACCACCCCGCCCCTCAAACGTAAAATGTGAGGGCAACTCCTCGATGTTTTGAAAATGAAGCTTGCTGAGGTACCAGGCATAAACACAGCGCTATATCCCGAGATGTCTGGGAGAATACACAGTGGTCTGTGGTTCGATGGCTCCTTGTCCGAGATATTTGTGTCTGAATCAGGAGGAATTCTTGGTAAAACGTGGTTCGTCTCTTTCACGAATCGCAAGCAATGGGGATCACCATCTTCTTCGACCGAAGAAATGAACGGTTTGTATATCACAAGATCATCATTATCAGTACGCAACTGTGTGTCCCATCAGCGTTTGCTTTTCGAACTAGCAATCATACATAGAAGAGATTAATGGCGGGGGAAACAAGGACAGTGACATACAATCAAGTGAGGCAATGGGTTCCAAGAGTCGCCAAGGTTTGCAACGATTGCTTCAGATAGAATCTCGCGTGTAGTCGAGCGCTTTGGAAGCTCTGTTGAAAGTATCGGAGGCAGGCAGTCAACGCCTTCGATAACCGACATCAATTGCTGCTCAGGAAGTCGATAAATCTTGTGCAAGTGTTAAAATAGCAAGCATCCAATGTTAATTGAGATCCGAGTACTCACAAATAACCGACAATCTGTACTCAACAGAAAGAGAAGCAAGCCGCAATCAGTGCTCTGCTGTGAGGCATGACCCCTCGGTGAGAAAATATGGGTTGTATCCCAGTACAGGCAGCAAGAAAGCCACTTCTCGTTTCCTAGGATATCACTCATGTCCAATTCATCAAGATCTCCACTGTCATCTGCCTGAAGAAGCAATAACGTAGAATCATCTCGGAGTATCGCGATGTAAGGATCAGCGAGGCTGGCACTAAGAGCCATTCGTTCATCGCTGGTGTCTTCATCCCAGACCGGATATATCTGGGCGAGTTCCAAGTCTATGCCGTTGAATTACTTGTTTGGCCAACTGTGCAGTACAGGATGAGAGGCTTACCGGAATCATAGCTTCGGACCTCGTTCCTTAGAACTTGAACAACACGCTTTCTGTTCGACAATGTCCCAACCTGTATCGAGATATCGTTGTTCGGGTTAAATTCAGGAGCTTTGAAGGGCTTCAAATTCAGTCCATCAACAATAAAAACTTCTGACTCTTCCTTATCAATTGTTTGTGGTTTTGTCAATATGACATATTGACGCCATTCCTCGATGTTTGTTTGGTCTCCAGACATAGGTTTTGCGGCGCTTCCAAGAGCTATAGAGGCTGTCCAAACTCCATGGATGGGTCCAACGTTCAGCGAAGCTTTCACAACGGGCTCTAATTCACGCTTCATCACAACCAAACCACCGTTTCCATTCGAACCATAGGCTGCGACTAATTCTAACTCAGAGCAGATATTGTCCAAGTGAGAACCAGTGTCTTCAACGGGCATTGCAGGCTGACCCAACGCTATGTCTCTCAATGGCGCCGTGTTAGGAAGCACATCGTGCACCTTGAACTTATACGATGCAAATGTGGACGGCGCAACTGAAAGGCGATGGCCAAGTGCTGGGGTGTCAGGTGCAGCGGAATAGAGATCATCTTCATAGACATCTTCTTCGCTTTCACTATCGTCTGAACCTTCTTCGTGATCCTTTTCGATCCGCTTAGACTCTGAGCGAGATTTCCTGGCATTCGATGATGATAAGGACCAGCCGAGGAGCACAGATTCAGCATCCTCACTGCCAAAGAATACTTTGTCACTTCCAAGTGAAGCTGATGCTGATGCGGCAGCCTTCAAGATATTTCCCCCAGCATGACCAGGTAAAGGACGAATTGATATGCCCGATACTGATCTCCCGTCCAGTTTGAAGTGAACAAGAACCATAGTCCCCGAAGAGAGAGCCAGAAGCAAATCCCCACTGCTATTACCGAGAAGCTCTACAACGCATCCTTCGAGTCGGAGTGCCAGTTCCGACTGATCAGCCATAGAGAATGTCGAGACTTGTCGGGAAAACTCATTGACTCCAACCGCATTTGTTTTGCCTGCCTGATCGACATGCACAAGCTCATTGTATCCAATGAGCAAAGCACCCCCAACAGGAGGCGGGAGAGCGACCACTTTGAACAAGTCGCTTGGCAGCCTAGTGACTGATAGCAGCATAGTTGAAGCTCGCTGTTCTAGGTCCAGTGTAAAGACGGTGTAGAAAATAGCATCCTTTCTCTCATGAAGCAAGGAATTCGATGTGGCAATCTGCGAGTAGAGGATGCCGAAAGTCGGTTCCCTATATTCGTATAAGAATGCAAGGCTGACTGGATGAAGTATTGCAGAGTCCAGGGCCGTAAGAGGAAGAACAAATGATGAAGCATATGGAGTCTGATGAACTGCTCCTTCTTTGGACTTTGAATTACCAGCACTATCATCCATCTCATGCTCATGACTCTGCTTTTGAGAATCAGATTCATAATCGCCCATCACCAAATCATCTCCAGGTTGATGGAAAGGAAGAATGGCGAGGTTGCGAATCCCGAAATTGAAAACTGCACATCTACTGCTTGGATCCACGCTCAAGATGCTGCCACAGCTGCTCAAATCAGGTACCCAGGGGCTACGGGTTATATCATCCCGCTCATAATAGTGTATAGAGATGGTCGAAATTCCATAACGCTCTGGATCCCACTCCACCAAGCTAAGTTTAGCATTTCGAAAGGCGAGCAAGATAGCGTCTCCGCCGCTCTTAGTTTTTAATAGTTTGACCCGACAGAGATCGCTTACTGTCCCAGAGAGCGAATATTCTCGCTCCAGGATTAGCTTGGTTGATTGAAGCTGGTCCGGCCGGGCTGACTTGGCTGCAATGATTTCACCTTCTGCTGAACACGAGACATTGAGTAAAGAGAATATTTGGAGGACAGACGTCTTAACCACGACCAGGTTAGTTGCCGTGGCAGAGAGAAAGGGGATTGACAGAGAATGAGTTACCCCAGTAGGGGGCAACAACTCTGTATAGCACTGCATCTGAATTTTTGTCCAAGCCTAAGTTCGGATAGGATGTCCTTCGTGGAAACACTGTCAACCTAGAGTTGTCCAAAGCAAACAGATAGATATATGCATTGCAGGAGCAGTAACAAGTACAAAAGTAGAGTGCTTGCAAAAATGAAGGTGACTGATAATAATTGCTAGAGCTCCCAATTCTATCATGCAAACCGTTTATTTTGGTTGTGTTTATGATGGACAAAAGGCTGATCTGAGAAAGCTCCCACGTGACCCATTGAGACAACCTAGCAGTTGATGATGTAATACGCGTCATACAAGATCTAGTGGATATCCAAACATACAGCATTTCAGCTTCATCACTACTACTACTACTACTATTATCAACCCTCCCCCGGTTACTCAGGGTTAGCGAACTACGGGAACTATGAATTGTCAGTACCATTATTAGTAATTTTTGTTAGCATCGCGATTTTTATCATCGTCAGGGATAGAAACCCTTCGGACGCAGTAAGTTTTGCTCTATAAGCTCCATAGTTGTTTCATCCGGGTCTGTGGTTAATATCAACAGTTGATCATCTCCGGGGTCCTTCATACTCTTCCTTGGAGATTAAACCTGTACTCATCTGAACTGGGCAGCACGAGAGGTTTGATATTAGGCCATGGAGTCCTTACAGATCTACCTTATTTGGTCTGTGTATGGCGTTGCAATCGCAATTCTGATTGCGGTTGCCTCAACGTTTATATGTGCTTATCAGACCCCAAGAGATCGGTCCCCTTCTGTGACATTGATTTGCATAATTTCCATCACTGTTCTTCTTGCAACTGTCTTACTTTTGCCAGTAGACATTGCCTTGGTCTCATCAATTACATCATCTGCTCTTGGCCGGCGGAAAAGTTGGGCTACTCAAGCTGAGGTTGACAAGATCACCTTTTCATTAACTATTGTGTATTACTCACTGTATACCGTGGATGCTCTCCTGTGTCTCATCGGAATACCTTTCACATATTTCTGGTACGAGGAATACGACGAAGTAGCTGCCGAGGCAGGCCAGCAGACTGCTGGCCAACGGTTTTGGGCTGCTTTTAAGTACACGTTGTTTTTTGTTGCCATACTAATTGTCTTATTTTTGGTTGGGTTTTTCATCCCTACCTCGAGAAATCTAGCCGGTCATGATTCGGATTTCTTGAGACGGCTGTTTACCGAAGATCGTAAGTTGGAAGCCTTATCCATCCTGAACACCCAACATTTTTCCCTTGTTAAGGAGCTCACTGTTATTCAGGAGGTCAACATGCTCTAACTTTCTCGGTCGGTATATTAACAACTCTTGGTTTGAGCCTTTATATCATATACACGTCCTCGGGACTGGCAAGGCTCCCTGTTCTCCTTATGAAGACAGCTCCGTCCTTCTCCAGCCCATCCTTAATTGCTTCTACGGCCATGCAATTGGATTCTAATCGAGAACGTCAGCGGCAATTAGACGGGCGCTGTGGGGGGGATACTGCTCTCCTATCCTCCAAAGACCGGCGGGAATTAGACTCTCTAGTAAGGGAAGAGAGAACCCTTACACGTCGACAGCGCCTAGCTGAAGGAGCTCAAGAAGAGCGAAGAAGCTGGCCGATTAAGGTGTACCACAAGATGGAAGCTGTTCTTCATCCGTTTAAGCTTCTGGCTGGCTTCGTTCTACTCCTGGCTGCACTCTTCCTATGGACATCGTTATGTGTGACAGCAATCGATAAACTGATGAATTCGCCTTGCAAACACCGTTGCGGATACATACTTGAGCGTGTTAATATCTTCAACCCTGTCAATTGGGTGTTGATTCAATCATCTCGAGTATTCCCAGTGGACTATGTCATATTCACACTAATCGTTTTGTTTCTCTTCTGCAGCTCGGTCGTTGGCATTGCTGCATTTGGTATTCGATTTCTTTGGATCCAAATCTTTTCAATACGGAAGGGCCGTACCTCGCCCCAGGCTCTTCTTCTACTGACATCAATGCTGATGCTGATCACATTGGCCTTGAACTACTCGGTGGCTGTGATTCTCGCGCCTCAGTACGCGACTTTTGGGCCGCAAACTTTCTGTGACATGCCACCAGTGTCTTCTGGGCCGCAACCTGATTGTTCTAGAGCTAGAAATCTCATTAAGTCATGCTCTGAAAAAGCAGAAAATATAGGCGCGAATGGCCTTTGCACACCAAGCGTTGCAAGTACTCTCCTCAATCAAATGACGTCAAATTTTCCATTTTTTGGTGCTGTTTTTTTCTGGGCACAATTCATTTTTCTTGGTAAACCTTTTCTGGCTGCAAAATCCGGAACTCATCGCTGATATCCGCATTAGGTCTATACCTTCTAGTCCTCGTGGTCTCGGTCACTCGCTCACCCAGACTTGACGAGCATCAGTTGGACGAGGACGCGGAAGAGGCCGAGGAAGAACGCCTACTGGCAAGGACTGGTAGACGTATCAATACCGCTTAGCACGGCATTGTTGCGCTGATGATGGAATCTCTCTGGCACAGTAGGAAGGATTGTTCAAATAGAATATCACTTGGTGGCTGTGATCTAGATCCTAAAGGATTGTGACAAGGACTAAAGTTATAGTGCTGTTTAAAACCCCCCTATACTCATGATTCCTTGCAAGAAATGGAGGGCATGACATCATCAAAAAGCACGAAGTCGATGTGAACATGCATTAATAGCTCGGCTGACTCTCGCGCATATCTCCATAATTCATTCAAAGCTTGCAAACGTGCAATTGATCGTCAAGTTGACTTGGCCAGATGGGACATTCCAGTATACAATTTCGAGGACACATTTCGCCCGCGATACTGAGGACTTTTAGTCAATCATTGAGTAGAGCGAGAGCATTTTCGAAAGCCTTCACTACATCTGCATCTGGAATAGGATTGTTAGCTAGGCTCTGGTGATTTGAACTCTCTATCGTACAGTGTCGCTTCTTTTTCTCCAGCTTCTCTTCAGAACTTCGCACATGTTGCGTCTGGGTCTTGAATCTAAGCTTGGGTTAATTATAGCGAAACACCAATAAGGGTGTTGTTGGTGACGATCCCAAACCTTTTCAAAGCTCTGCTCTCATCGCGAACAACAGCAGATTGTGCCCAATTCATGAAAATCTGAAGAGGCAATGTTAGAGAGAAAAGATAGCCTAGAAATACACAAGGTACCTCGAGCAATGCTGAAGATCGAGCTCGCAGCTCTTCTTCGGCTTGATTGTGTTTATCAATAGCGTTCGAATAATGCCGTTGGAGCTCTTCCCAGGGGAGATGTTCAAGATCTTCCGCTGACTGCTGTTTGACCTGGTAGTTGGGTTGCTCCTTCATGGAGTTCTTTTCCTGCTGGTAGATTCTGTTTGAGCCTTCGTTATACTCAAAGGCGGCTTTTGTGTGGTTTCCGCCCCTTGAGTCCATCATGAGTCGTTGTACTTGGTTTAGACGATTTAGAAACTCATTGATCAGGGGATTTAATAAAGACAAACGGTCTTCATATAACACGCGCGTACCATGCTGTATCTTCTGCTACAATCAAGACTGCTTGAATGGCCTGGTGATCCTAACGGTATTTTCCAGTCTCGGACTTGGGAATATGTAGCCAGAGAAAGATGATGATGAGTGAAGGCATATTCTTGCCTTAGGCATCATACTCTGCCTTATCATGTGACATTTATTTGCTGGTCAAGTTCTCCCGCCCATGTCTCAAGAGAAAGGAGCTCTCCTCCAACGTATCCTCTGACAGCTACCTTCCGCATGAAACCTGCAGGGGGTCATGAAGAATGAACCTTTGGGCTTTATAACCATTTTCAGGTATATGTGTCGCTAATCAGGTGGACTAGAGTACCGATCAGCCGCCAGGGGGCATGAGAATATGAACCGCTTGCCAACACCCATCAGTAACACCTACGGCACGCCTGGAAATGAACTGTACGATATGTTCTCGTTCCCCAACCCCCCGCCTGCGCTTTCATTGTCCTACATGTACGTACAACCAGCTATATCGACTGCGAATCGAATATGCTAGGATCCTACTGGAGAAAGAAGCCATAGGCCAGCACATCGAAAATGCGGTGCTTTCAGGTTCTCATCCTGTTTCGTCAAGGAAGGATGAGGACAGCTCGAGTCAACAACCAAATGAGATCTCTGAATCCTGGGAGATTCGGCGAATCACCATTGCACAAGCCCAATCGTCAATCAAATTCAAAGAATTCGGTCATCACATTGAGAAACTCAAGTCTGTGATCAAAGAAAGGCGACTGCGAATCTCCCAGCACCGATTGACATTGGCAAGAAGACGATCTGATGCCGAGTCAGCAAACTTCCAGCTCAAGAGCAGAGAAAACTCCATGTTATGTGGTGTTCAGAACAACATCAAGCGGACGGAACATCTCTGGCACTCCTTACATAGCAAGACAGCAGAGGCTCGGATCTTCCTTTGCAGGGAGGCTGCTAATCTCTATGGCCTACGACAGAGATTGCAGAAGAATGGCAATGATATGAAAGAGATATATTATATTGGAGGCGTGCCTATTTTAAAACTGCGAGAATTGAATGGAAAGTTGCAATCTCTTTCAACGCACATCACTATATAATAATAATACGCCTATAGGTGCTACGCCCTGTCAAATATCGACGTCTCTTTGCAATATTGCTCATCTTCTCGTCCTCGTTTCGCATTACTTATCGTTGAGGCTTCCCGCCGAGATCACACTTCCTCACAGGAATTGCCCTAGCGCGATAATACATATACCTACTGGGTCTTATGTCCAACGAGAGGCAAACTCGCCCCTCTCCCAGGCGAAGCTGCAATCTCTTAACACACCAGCTTTACATGCAGTGGACTCATGTTCTCGCCATCCTCGTCCTCGACCTCTTTCCATCGACCGAGGCCTACCAAAACTCGCCCGGGAAGACACCGGAACCTACGCTCTCTTCCTGGAGGGAGTCACGTTATTGGCCTGGGACATCTCCTGGCTATGTCGCACCCAAGGGCTTAATGTGGCATTGGACTCTTGGGAGGAATTATCCGATTTTGGGAAAAACATGTGGCAGCTGTTAGTGGCTCCACCAATAGAAACCATGACTTTAATGAGGGCTTTCGCTGGGCGTGAAATGCAACACAAGGTTAAGACTATCGCAGACACCCCGAGGACTTCTATTCAAAGAGTCAAATCGTTCCCCATGTTGGGACATTACTCGCACGGAACAGTGCATTCATTTTTGAGTGCTTCAGAAGGTACGGAATTTATGAAAACCTGGAAACTACCGACTCCGACAAAGGTTGTTGATAAATTAAAATCGACTCTTCTTGGCGAGATAGCGAGTGCGGAATGGGAATTTCTCGAAGAGAAAGAGTGGGATGATCATGACCAAGAGCCGGTGAAGGTCTCCCTTCAAGGATTGTCAGTAATTTCAAGGCATGACTCTCAAGATGAGACACCTTCTGATAGGAATGGCGCTGGTCACCCCCGATCAGTAAATGACACAACAGTGGGACATGACAATTCTGGTTCCAAGGACTTCAAAGACTCCCTCAGCGCCGGTCGTCCAAGGGGATCGAGTGGGTGGACCAAATTGAGACATCGGTAACCTATTTTTTTCTAATTTTTTTTTGTTTCGGCTCATAGATGCTCTCAAGCAGTCATCCTTGTGCATTAGAGTATTATTCGAATGATGTAGGCGCATAAGGTCTTGCTGATGTATCAAAATGCAGTCAGATATATATATCTCAGAGTCATGGAACAGCCATTGCCATTCCTTAGCTGAGTTGTCGGCTGGTAGATTAGTTGGTACCATCTAAGGTACCTAGAATCCAGATACTTTGTTGGGTTTACTATGAGTACCTACGGAGTACTACCTAGACAGGAGATTTTCAGATTGATAAGATTAGACAACAGTACCTTATCTGAACCTCTATCGGATAATTGTTATCCAGTCAACCCGATGCCGCATGATTGCTGACTTCCCTTAATTGTATTCCTATCAAAAATTGGACTTTCTACTTTCCTTCGTGTGAATAATTTGCTTGATATCATTGTCCACTATAAAGCTTCCTCAGGTCCAATTACCCTTATATTCAACAGCCTGTCACTGTCACTGTGACGTTATTCAGGTCGGTAAGGATTACGGCCTAGATTGGGGTATTCCTTGAGGAACCATAATAGTGGCAGAATAAGTATCTATATTGGTCGGGTCATGGATGTGATCGGAATATAGAAGGCTCAAAGACAACAAGATGAGCCAAACGACGTGGCTGTCTCACGCTGACCCGGCATTATCTGGTATGTATCTTACAAACCATCGATGCTCCTTCAAGGCACAATCGAGACTGTCTATGAATCAACCGGCTAACAATCAAAATTTTAGCCTTGGATTACACTTTTGCTTCTGTGACCGATATACCTGATTATATCCTCCGAACGGAACTTACGCGCAGAAACGGGGCTCGAAGCTTCAACGACGACAAGGCAGCATGTGGTTCAAAAGAAAAGGGCGCATATAACACACCAATCCATGTGATGGCACTATTCCTCATCTTGGTCCTGAGCACACTAGGTAGATCTTGTCCCCTTCATAGACAATCCTTTTTTTTACATCTGCTTATCTTCAGTAAGCATGTTCATTCCCCGTCCTCGCCCGCCGGTTTCCACGCCTACCAATACCGCGGCACTTTCTCTTCATCTCCAGGCATTTTGGAACTGGGGTGCTGATCGCCACGGCCTTTGTTCATTTACTACCTACGGCGTTCATCTCTCTGACAGACCCCTGTCTTCCTCGATTTTGGAGTGAGAGCTATCGTGCTATGGCTGGATTTGTGGCTATGATCTCCGTCTTCGTCGTTGTCGTTGTAGAGATGTTCTTCGCCATGAAAGGTGCCGGTCATGTTCATGGAAGCGAGTATGATCATTTGATCAGCAGCACTGCGCGAGATTCCATTGAATCTACGAGCAACAACGCCGATTATTTGAGGCTTGACTCTCACGGTGCAGCGGACGACCTTCGTCTTGGCGCCATTCAGTCAAACAGCCAGACGGACATCCCCCAGCAGAAATCTGGCTCCTTGCTCCGAACCTCACCAGAGCCCAAGCATGGACAGGGCAAGAACTCGCCCTTATACCACGAAGAGGACAGTCCAGATCTGGAAAACAGCGAACCTGTTCACAACTATCACAGCGTCCGTGGAGTTGGGGACTCCAATTCTCGCTGTCATGATTCTCAGCCACAGGACTTGGCTGGGCAAACACCCCCTAAGTTGCCCTCACAGAGTCCTCGGCGCCAGCTACTACAATGTCTACTGCTCGAAGCTGGTATCCTTTTCCATAGTATTTTCATCGGCATGGCTCTCAGTGTTGCGACAGGAACATCGTTTGTTGTTCTTCTTGTGGCAATATGCTTTCATCAAACATTCGAGGGGTTTGCCCTTGGGTCACGGATCGCCTCCTTGATACCAGATCTCTTTTCGCCGTCATCTATGAAACCATGGCTCATGTCTCTGGCTTATGGAACAACCACGCCAGTTGGCCAAGCTATTGGCCTAGTCCTACATAATCTGTATGACCCGGCGAGCACTGCGGGTCTTTTGATGGTTGGCATTACCAATGCAATCAGTAGTGGGCTCCTGCTGTTCGCTGGACTTGTGGAACTCCTTGCGGAGGATTTCCTCAGCGAGTCTAGCTATGCGACACTCAGAGGTCGCAGGCGTATCGAGGCTTGTGTGGCCGTCGCAGGCGGAGCATTGCTGATGGCATTGGTCGGCGCATTCGCCTAAACTCTGAGCGGTCATTGCCTACTATATCATATTGACCTTCCCTAGACATCAATAGAGAGACAGTGTATAGCTAATAGACTCGGATGGACAATAACAGGTTAGATATTTGATTTTTGGTAGATGGCTCGTTGTCATTGCGTCTTGTTCTGCATCAGCACCTGCTGGGTAAACTGAGTCCAGGGTTGCCATTTCTTGGTAAAGCATATACCTTAGAGCAAGATTTGCAGACCGCAAGGCATCCTCACGCTATGACACAGATTTCTGTCCGAAATACTCTTCAGGCTTCGAGATGGCGCTGCATCTACCATGCCAGGGCCACAAGGGTGGGTGGGTGCGGGACAGGTGCGCGCGCACTTGCTATTTTGTTGAGCCTGAGAGCTATGGAGCTTGATTTACCAACAATAAAGTAGATCATTTACTACATGCGGCTCTTGCCCTCTTGGATATGTAACCCATTTGCTCTGGTGGCAGGAAATCTATTATCAGAATTTAACCGGTACGCTCAGATCTCAGGCACATGATATAGATGGAAACATGTCTATGTGAAAATTAATCCAAAAAGACATATATGCGCACCCATATACTCGGTCAGGACATAGACGAATTTCGAGCTTATTCAAGGAGCTCAACAACCATAGCACTGGCTCCACCACCACCATTACAGATCCCAGCACATCCAATCTTGCCTTTTTTCGCCTTCAGGACCCCGAGCAGAGTGGTCAAGATACGTGCGCCACTAGCACCAACAGGGTGACCAATGGCTACCGCTCCGCCGTGGATGTTGACCTTTTCCTCAGGAATATTAAGTAATTTCATGTTAGCAAGGGCAACAACGCTAAAAGCCTCGTTGATCTCAAAAGCATCAATTGCGTCCTGATCGACACCTGCATGCTTTAGGGCCTTGGGAATTGCGAGGGCAGGGGTCGTGGTGAATTTGCTGGGCTGCTGAGCGGCGTCTCCCCATCCGAGGATTTTGGCCACGGGTTTTAGGTTAAGTTCCTTCAACTTGGCCTCTGAAACGAGGACAACAGCAGCAGCACCATCATTGAGAGGAGAAGAGTTAGGTGCCGTCACTGTCCCAGAACCAGGGATAAATGCAGGCTTGATACTTCGGAGTTTCTCGGCGTTGAGCTAAAGAACACATGGTTAGCTTGCCATAAGCAATAGCCTCATAAGCGGTTCATCCGTCGGGGCATCCATACATTTTTGGGTTCCTCATCCTGTGAGACAGTGACACCTGGTTTTCCTCTGAATCCAGGAAGTTGAATCGGGGCAATCTCATCATCGAACAGGCCAGCTTTCTGAGCTGCTTGGGCCTTCTGGTACGTGCGAATAGCGTAATCGTCCTGTTGTTCTCTGTTAAATCCATAATCCTGAGCACACTCCTCTGCTTGAAGGCCCATAAGTTCCTGGCTTCCTGCATCCATCAGGCCATCCTTCATGATACCATCAACCAGTGTCTGATGGCCATATTTAGCTCCAGTGCGCATATTAGGAAGGTAGTGCGGTGCGTTTGACATTGATTCGGTGCCACCAGCCACAACGACATCAGCGTTTCCAGTCATGATGGTCTGAGCTCCAAGAATGATTGCCTTCAGGCCGGATGCGCAGACCTTGTTAACGGTAGTGCATACGGTTGATTCCTTGAGGCCTGCAACGAGTGCGCACTGCCTAGAAGGATTTTGTCCAACACTTCAATAGTTAACAGCATGATTCAGGAAAATGGTATGATCAGGACAGGGATTCAACTTACTTGGCGGAAATAACATTGCCAAAAAAGACCTCCTGAACATCCGAAGGCTGAAGTCCCTCGGCTTTAGCAAGAGCAGCTATGTCACCCTATCAATTAAGAGCTCACAAATGACTTTCGAGTCAGGTCGACATACCTTTGATAGCGTGAGAACCGAGCTGTGGGGCAGTCAAGCTTGAAAGAGAGCTTTAGGAAAGCAATCTGGATCAGTCTCAATCCTTTTCAAATTTACGATGGGAGCAGAGACTATGCTTACCCCAAGAAGGACCCCACAGGAGTTCGGGCAGAGGAGACTATATAAACAGGCGGGAGCGAAGACATGGTGGTGGTTTGCAGTTCAAGATTGTTGAGCTGCTAGTTGCGGTGCAAAAGGATTCGGAGAGCGTCTAGTCTTAGCACGCTTTTTCGTAGATCTCAGACAGCCGGTTGGAACAATCGCGACTCGGAACGATAGCAAAGAAGGATGGCCGAAGATATGGAGGGATCGTCGGGAGAATGATTACGGGAGGGCTCTCTTTTTATGTTGTCGAGCGGGGGCCGATTCGCAGTGGTGCAACAGGAATAAGGGGAGAGTCGCTGTAGTTCAGACGCTCTAAAATTTTAGCGGCGCGCCGTCTCCCGCGAGAAGCGAGGCTACCTAATATCGTATAGTAACCACCATGTAAATCAAAGTACACATATTAAGTTAAAGATAATGTGCTTCGTAGATAATAAGTATCCAGTAAACTAATAGATATAAATAAACTAGATTCACATAGCCAGATAGGTTGCTATGAAAGCTTAATATCTTTAACAAGTTTTAAGTGTAGGTGAGGTTGAGTGTATGAAAGACGTTGTTTCGGAGGTGTATGGACTATGGAGGAGTACTTAGAATCATATAGTGGCCACCATATCAGGTTAGGTACCCCACTTTTTCAGAAGAACAGCACAACACTAAGATTTTAGAGCGTCGGAACTACAGCGACCCCCAAGGTGACTCCCGGAGTAAGCAGACAGCCACCGCCAAGCTCAGGCCTACCGCCAAACCCTCTTTGTTCAACTTTCCGAGTGCTCAGAAGAGCTTTTCTGAATTGAGCGAACACAGCGTCCGTTTCAACATCGGGGCTCAATTCAGTCGAGTTCCGAGGTTCCTATCAGCACCATGGATGATCTTTACGATGAGTATGACATATCCGGGCCCAATTTTTCGAAGCCCAAAAGTGCTGGTTAACTAACATTGACGCTAGGTTTGGCAATTACATTGGGGAGCCTGCGGACTCGGATGAGGATGACCAGCATGAAGAGCTCAAGCAACAGGCTTTCGCTTTCGACGAGGCTTTTGGGGAGGATGAGGAAGAAGATAACACAACTGAGCATCAATTGATGGAGGTTGATGGTAGGTCACTCTTTGAGCCACAATCTTTTTTAAAATGGTTCTAATCCTGATTGTAGAGGGTCCCTCCAACGCGGTTGTCCTACATGAAGATAAACAATACTACCCGAGCGCGCAACAAGTGTACGGTCCCAACGTGGAAACTTTAGTCCAGGAGGAAGATTCACAGCCGCTCTCGCAACCTATAATTGCACCCGTCCAGCAGAAGAAGTTCGCCATTGAAGAGGCTGAGCTGCCGCCCGTTCATTTCTCCCGGCAATTCATGACGGATTTGCTTCAATTTCCAGAGCAAGTCAGGAATGTCGCAATCGTCGGCCACCTACATCATGGAAAGACATCCTTTATGGACATGCTTGTCACGCAAACGCATGATCTGACAGAACGTCTGGAGAAGCGGGTAGGCAGACGGAAGGAGGAACAGCTCCGATACACTGACGTCCATTTTCTGGAACGAGAGAGGGGCCTTTCGATCAAATCGGCCCCCATGACATTAGTGCTTCAGGGCACCAAGGGGAAGTCTCATCTCTTCAACATCCTTGACACTCCGGGGCATGTGAACTTTGTGGACGAGGTTGCTGCATCGTCTCGACTCGCTGACGGTGTGGTGCTGGTCGTTGATGTTGTTGAAGGTGTGCAGGCCAATACGGAACAGATCATCAAACATGCCGTGCTGGAAGGCCTCCCCATGACGATGGTTGTGAACAAGATGGATCGACTAATTCTGGAGCTGAAAATACCACCAAATGACGCTTACTTCAAATTGAAACATGTGATTGAGGAGGTGAACACAATCATTGAGAAAGTTCTACCTGGGCAAGGGCAAAAGAATCGGCTCAGCCCCGAGAAAGGGAATGTTGCCTTCGCGTGCGCCTCTATGGGGTGGTGTTTTACCCTCCAATCATTTGCTAAAATGTATGCTGAGACTTACCCACAAGTTGAAACATCTGACTTTGCTATGCGCCTCTGGGGAGATATCTTCTTCAATCCGAACAGTCGCAAATTCACGCGAAGAGGAGTGGAAGAGAAATCCAAACGGACTTTCGTTAAATTCGTTCTGGAGCCTATCTACAAACTCTATTCCCACACAATAAGTGAAAGTCCGGAGGATTTGAAAGAGACCCTTGCCAGCGTGGGTATCAATCTGAAACCGTCGCAACTCAAGTCGGATGCAAGGGTGCTATTGAACTTGGTTTGTCGAGAGTTTTTTGGTCCGGCCACCGGCTTTGTGGATATGCTCGTACGGCATATTCCCTCCCCAGTAGAAGGAGCTCAAAGGCAACTCGACAGATACTATACCGGTCCACTGGATACAAAAGCTGCGGCCGCCATGAAAGCATGTGACGCAGACGGCCCCCTAATTGTCCATGTCACTAAACTTTTCGCCAGCACGGATGCCTCGACCTTCCATGCTCTTGGCAGGGTCATGAGTGGTACAGCTCAGCCTGGTCAGCAAGTTCGGGTGCTGGGCGAGGGCTATACTCCTGAAGATGAGGAGGATATGGTAACTGCAACCATCTCAGATACATGGATTGCTGAAACCTGCTATAACATTCCAACCAGCGGTGTTTCTGCTGGAAACCTAGTTCTACTGGGTGGTGTGGAGAACTCCATTGTGAAGACAGCCACTATCGTCCCTATCAAGTTTGAGGACGATGAAGAAGCACATATCTTCCGGCCAATCCGTCATATGACGGAATCTGTCTTCAAGGTCGCAGTAGAGCCGGTCAATCCATCGGAGCTTCCGAAAATGCTTGACGGCCTACGCAAGGTTAACAAAAGCTACCCACTCATTTCAACCAAGGTAGAAGAGTCTGGTGAGCATGTGGTGCTGGGAACAGGAGAGCTCTACATGGACTGCGTACTACACGATCTCCGAAGACTATATTCGGAGATGGAAATCAAAGTATCTGATCCTGTCACTCGTTTCTGCGAAACTGTTGTGGAGACCTCTGCCATAATGTGCTATTCCATCACGCCGAATAAGAAAAACAAGATTACCATGATCGCTGAGCCCTTGGATGATGGAATCGCTGAAGATATTGAAAGCGGCAAAGTCAGCATCAAGGATCCAATTCGCAAAGTGGCGAAATTCTTTGAAGAGCGGTACGACTGGGACAAGCTTGCGGCCAGAAGTATCTGGGCTTTTGGCCCAGATGAAATGGGCCCGAACATTCTACAAGACGACACACTACCATCGCAAGTCGACAAGAAACTACTTGGGAGCGTTAGAGACTCTATCACGCAAGGCTTCAGCTGGGGGACTCGGGAGGGTCCTCTTTGTGAGGAACGTAAGTCGTTTTGATCATTCACTCTTTCCAGGTTTATGTGCTTGGTATCGATCTGCCAGCACGAGGCGGGGGCTAACTTGGACATAGCGATTCGGAATACAAAGTTCAGACTCACGGACGTGACGCTAGCAGACCAAGCCATTTATAGAGGCGGTGGCCAGATAATTCCCACAACCCGACGTGCCATTTATTCATCCTTCCTCATGGCATCTCCTCGCTTGATGGAACCTATTTATTCGTGCACCATGACAGGACCTGCAGACGCTGTTGCTTCGGTATATACAGTACTTTCACGCAGGAGAGGTCATGTCCTTTCAGATGGGCCAATCGCCGGGACGCCGCTATACACGGTGCGCGGTCTGATTCCAGTCATAGACTCTTTTGGATTTGAGACGGATCTCAGGATCCACACCCAAGGCCAAGCCGCGGTCAGCCTCGTCTTCGACAAATGGAATGTTGTCCCAGGTGACCCGCTAGACCGCGAAGTCAAAATAAAGCCACTCGAGATGGCACCTGCCATGGCGACGGCCCGAGATTTTGTGCTGAAAACAAGAAGGCGAAAAGGCTTGGCGGAGGACGTCACAATCAGTAAATTCTTGGAACCAGAATTGTGGAAAGGTTTGAAGGAGAGTGGCGTCTTGGACTCTTGACAGAGTCCTTATCTGTTTGATAATTGCGACAGGTTCAGTATCAAAACATGTAGTTATAGTGTTATCCTGGCGCAGTAGGCCATTGAACCGGCCTGGAGCCATACGAATACAAGATGATTGCAACGGTCAGAATAGGGGATCTACCTTTGATTCAGTTGCAGTACTGCCGAATGCCAAAGTTACTGGCACGTTTCCAGCATCTTGGTGATGACACCCATCAGAGTCCCATTTTCTAGAGCAGCAGCGACTCTTTCTTTATCGGCTAGTTGCTTGTTGACTTCGTCAGCAGTACTATGGGTGCCTTCCTTGATCCGCACATCAACGCGAAATCGAAGTGGGAGTGACTGCTCAAGCCGAACACGCACACCGAGCCCTATAACTGTGGCCAGGCTACAATGTGTTATGGTCGGGGTAATGAGAACGGTGATAGTGCGAAGAGGCGAATCAGGCACATGCGGTAGCGATGGCTTGATGCTGATGTCTGAAAGTGAGACAACGGCTAAGGCCCCTAGGGATATAGGATGCTCGGGGTCAGATATGGTGGATATGAGGTCTAGAAATCTGATTAGAAGCTGAATCATGTTTGCTTTTCTGAGGTGGAAAAAGGGTGGTAAGACCCCCCATAGGGATAGGTGCTTGAAGCCATACCGAAAATCTCTTGTTCATCTATAGGCTCTTCTAGTAAATAATCATCGCTCTCAGGCTCCGAGTACGTGTTGACAGAAAAGGCGTCGCCCAAAGTCGCAGAATATCGTAGAGTAGGACTGAATACCCCACCTCCAAAACCGTTAGGCTTCTGTGAAGTCGCAGGCAACCGAGTTGGAAGATCAGAGGGGCTCAGAATGATGGGATTGGAATTTTGTATTTCTGAGGCCATTGTGAACTATAATTAATAGAGAGTATGTGATGCTATCAGGATAAGTGAATGATTATGTTGTATTGCGGTTGAACGAGGAGGTGGCAAAGATAAATCATGACATGGTTGATAAGGAAGGCTTATGAGGGCTAGCCTACATTACCATATGTTGTTAAAGTATGTAGCACCCAAAACAAAGGTACATACAGGAAGGAAAGAATAATCATGAGGACATAATGCAGTATGGATGGATCATCTTAAGTCAACTGTGCGTATATGGGACTTTCATAGAAGTCATCAGAAACATCGCCAGTATCCAACTTCTACACAAATACCATACGAGTCTTCAATCACCTGATTCCTCAGAGTTGCCTCGAGAGTTGCTTCGATCGCGCCAACAAAGAAAACCCCCCTAAAAAGACTGTCTACCAACGCAACATGGAACTGCTCTTGACAGTATGCACTAGGTACATCTCGCATAATACCAGAGGTAATGGCATTGTGAGGTATTGACGCACTGGGAAATTGTACGGGATACGGAATACATACACACAAGTGCAGATTTCTGCGGCAGCCCCTCAACTTCTAAGGCGATTGATTCTGATCCAATAATACAGTACTGTGTAGGAGACAGCCCTGAGTAGTAGTAAGTTACCAACTAACTTAACTATAAATCTCTATGCTATGCACAGTACCTACATTAGGTATCCGTACCTACTCCGTAGTCCATACCTGCCTTACAAGTTACAAATCTCTCCAAGACAAAGTGTAGTAGTATTTAGAATTTTAAATAACTACTATCTGGTGTCTACAGTACGAGTCTAGTTTCACTTGATCCGTACTCTCGGTCTCTTGTGCTCTTACGTCCAGCATCCCTCCATCAATTATCAGTCGGTATCCATGTCTGTACTCTATCTATCCGGCAATTGATCGATTCATCATTTAACTCCTTCATCGCTTGCTGTGCTGCGCCCCGCAATACATGCTTATTCCAGTCGAACTCGAATTCCCCGAAACCCCCCCCCTCCCCTCAAGACTCAGAGACAGATAATAAGGTGCCAAGAATCAGAGGAGGTTGTTAACGTGCAGCTTGTCTATCTTCGCGGAGAAACCAAGATCATCAAATTCCACATTTGAGGTCCCGTGGCGTTGGTGGTATTTTCTTCCACCTGGCAATATCTGCTCTCTAGTCATTCGGTTTATTCCCTCACTAGCCCTTTCTAATAGCTTGCGTCAGAATCGCAAACCTCCTCCTGCTTATTCTCCATTGCATGTAAACCCATCCAAGGGTGTTGCCAGTTGAATGCGGCATCCAGTCCAACTCATGCGATTCTTCCTCGCCAGCCGCCTGCCGCGATTTCAATGATATGCGGATGGTGTTGAACTGCAATGCAAGCTGCCCAGGCTTCCATATTGCTCTTTTCTCTTCACAGCTGTAAGGCCCGGGTCGCTTATCTCCTATCTACCCCTTCTTCATGAGCTTCCCAGCTACATCTAATCTCCTCACGAATTTCTTACTCGTATCCTCCATTCCTGTGCGCTTGCGCGTTTCAAGCTCCACGAGACCATGTGTGTGTTCTCTCCTCATTAAACTGTACATTGCCCATTGTGTTCATTCCGCAATTATGACACCGCGTGTTTGTATGCGCATCTATTTATCGATTCCCATTGATCTCTTTTCATGGATGAGTGGCTGATCTTTGACTGGAGATATGTTTAGTGCAATCCCCAACCTTCAACCTTTTGATCGCCAGGGACTGAGGCCCTCCTTCCATCGGCAGAATCTCCCTACTTCAAGTTGACACGTTGTGCCTATCCAAGGAGATGAAAAATAAGACCATTGTCATCTCCTTAAGGATTTCACCAGAGGAGACTGACTCAACATTGTGGTCTTTTTATTGAGACATTTATCATACCGCGTACTGTGGACAACCCATTGATCACGGTCACGATACACGTTGGAATCTACAGCTGCTGCAAGAATTCTAGCACCAGGAGCAGAGAGTGCCAAAAAACAGAAGTCAGAAGAGAGCTGGGATTTGCACAGAAAACATCCAAGGATCGTCTTTCGCCATATATCCATTAAGCTTGGATTCTAATTTTCATCCAAGTCAAGCACTCAAATACTATCTCTTCTCTGACTCCACGGGAAGGCTTTCATCACTCCTGGTGAAACTATTTCGGCGAAATCAATGCGATGCACGTTTAAGAAGTACTTGGACATCAGATGTGATCTGAAGACTAATACAGAAGACCTCTCGCACTCTCCTCAGCTATAACCTACCGGAGCTGGAAACTCTGTGTATCTATTTTTACCGTGCTGGTTGTTCCAGACAAGGCGGGCCTTGGGACCAATTTTGACCTAGCATTCTTGCAAAGAGCAGAAGAAAGAATCCCAGAAGACTATCCCATCTCTCTGTTTATCTTTGGTTGGCAAGGGTCTTTATTGCGATCTGTGCCCTCTGGAAGTATCACAATGCAAGGCTACCCTTTTGTGCCTCCAACTGGCCCTCCCCGAGAGGGTCATAAGAGTAAGTCCTCTTTTAACTCAACTAATATCACTTGGATTGCGGCCGCAAAACGTGGTCAAATCTTTCTGGAGATTTGATCTAATGTTCTCTCATATAGACTATGTATTCGTCGATGAACATAATAGACACAAACGCCTGAAAGGTCAGTGACATCTTCTCTGCTCCGTCCTTCCTACGGCACGCTCCAGAGAATATTTGCTGAACTATATGTCACTAGTAATGCGAGCCTGCAACGGCTGCAGGAAACGGAAAATTAAGTGTGACGCTGCCACCACTAACACTTGGCCGTGTTCAGCATGTACCCGACTGAAGCTCGTATGTGTACCACCAACCATTGGGCAAGAGAACGAAGTCTCCTCTACTCAGAATCCCGAATCTTCCTCGCTAAGTTCTTTGCGTGCGTCGCAAGCGGCCACTTCAACACATCATCCATACTCCATACCACAAAACCTTGCCAATGGGAGCCAACCTGCTGTCGGACATGCTACTTCATATAACGATGGAGTTGGACTGTTATCTCAGTATATTCCGTCGGATCGTGGCCAGTCCAACTTCTATGAGATACGACCACCGCATTTACCCACATCAAGTAGCAACTATCAACACCCACAGATGTTCTCTGCTACACCAAATCAAGGCTTGGAAAATACAACTACCAGTATGTTTGCCGATGACGAGCAGTCAACTACTGCCGAGAACCTCAGCGAAGTCCTTGGTGAATTGAGGATCGATGAAACTGGTATTGGTGAGTTCAATCATGTTGACTATAGGGCCTGAAGACTACTGATCTTTCGATGAAGCGCCTTACATTCGACAACAGCGCAAAGACCGAGTAGAAGCCGGAGCCCCAATTCAGGACGATATTGAGGAGAGATTGCCACCCTTGAGTACCGGTGCGGGATCGATCATACGCATCCCTCCGGAACTAATGCCGCCAGATAATGAGGTGATGAAGTATCTCAAACTCTACTTCAATGACATACATCCCTATGTTCCTGTTGTTCATCGAGCTCATCTTTACTTTCAATGGCAAAATGAACGAAGCTTGATATCTCCTTTGCTGCTTGAGGCACTTTTTGCTTGTGCTGGTAGATTATCGGATGATCCTGCACAGGGAGCGCAATGGCTCGCTCTAGCTAACAGTAAGACTTCTTTTATCTTATGCGCTCAGGGATCTCAAAAACTGATGTTAGCATGTGGGCAGGGCATGAATCTAGCTTCATGGATGTGCCGCGCCTCAGCACAATCCAAGCTTTGCTCTTGCTTCTCAAAGCCCGAGAATCTTTGCCAAAGAAAGGCTACTATTACCGCTCATGGCAAACTGTGAAGACTATTGTTTCAATGGCAAAAGACTTGGACATTCATGATCATTACAACGTCCACGCCGAAGGCAAGTCCTGCGAAATGGACACAGTGGAGTGCCTTGTACAAATCAGAGTTTGGCAAGCCCTCTTGGTTGTTGAAGTCATGATCGGTGCACCGCAGGGTAAGTTTTACGAACCACAACATCTCACAGGCATTGGCTGACCTCCGCAGGTCGGTCGGACTATGGCGTGGATCCGGAGACAGTAGATATGAGTCCAAATCTGGATATCCAGGGCCTCGACCAGTTTGAGATCGATCGCTCCAGACAATATGCCTACTTTGTGAGAAACGCCTACCACATTCGCTTGATCACTGATATATATCATAAAATCAAGAAGGATAAGGACTGGGGGGCCAATCCTAGACTTGTGGAAAAGAATCCTCTTTTCACAGATTGGCTCCGGGGCCTTCCATCGGACTTACAGATAACATATCCTAGTGATGGATCATCGCCATGGATCCCCTCACATTTTGTGGCAAATATGCACTCACATTGCCACTTAGGGATCATCCTATTACATCGACCACAATTGCTCGCCTCCAAGTCTTTTACGGCCGGAGGAGGGTGGAAGATTCACATGGCGTTATGCTACTCTTCTGCCAAGAGTCTTTGTAGGCTTCAAGAAGCTATTCTAGATCGCTATGGCCTGCCGGGGCTTCTATTCATGCAAAGAGGTATCAACTTCTCGATATATAGCATCTTGACATGCACAATGTTGCATCTAGTGAGTGTGGCACCGATGACTATCTGGTATTGGAATGATTGACTGATTATGGGAAGATTGCTATAACATCTCCAGACCCCCACTTTCATGCCGACGCGAGGGATTATTTCACGAGACATATGCGTATACTCGAGACATGCTCGTCTGCTTGGCCAATGCCCGAACTACGAGCGCAGATAGACTCCTTGCGACTTGCTTTTTCCGCCAACATCAATCGTCCTTTCGAACTCAAGTCTACTTTTCCTTATGGTAGTCCTTCGGAACCATATCATCCCAGCCCACCACTCGATTCGTCCTATCATCCTCAATTGAGCCAACTCTCGAGCAGCATACAGAACCGAGTGGGCTATTCCGTTTATCCAGTGACCTCCCCAATATCAGCCCGCACTGAAGAAGCCAAGTCGGACTCCTTCCAACACCAGCATGAGAGTCATCTTGCACCACATCAACCCTCGAATCAATCAATAGATGCTCCTTTAGTCGATGAAAACAGTTGGGATCCTACTCGAATTATCAAGTATGAACGCCAATCTGTCCATGAAGTTCTCTTATGCTAACATCTTGCCTAGCCAGTGGGACATGGCTTTTCCGGTCGGCCCATCAGCGCCGACTACGCATTCACCGCCGATGGGGCTGGAGAGCTCTACGCAATTGAATATTCTACCGCACCAGTTTCCCGTTCATTATGAGACACATGCGAAGATATCTTCGCTTGCAACATCCCAAACCCTTCCCCAGTCCCAGTCCCATTTCAGTGGACAACAAGTCTTGATAACGGCACGTGATTGGCAGCAGAGCGTTGCTAGCGTGTACGATCCCAACGGCTTGAAGCGGAGGTGGAACCAGTCACTTGATACCGGAGAGCAAAGCAGTACAAAGCGTCAACGATGATATTCAGCAATACTATCTCTTTCTCCATACTGATCGGTCTATATACTCTCTCAGGTTGGATGTTCCAGCCTATATATGATGAACCATTTACAAGGTATAATGAGGCACCATCTTGGAAAGAATTTGGTGTCAATTTAATGACTGTGGCTCTTGCAAAAAAGTGCTGGAAGGCAGGTATAAATGCCTGCACTTGTTGCTTGGCTTTGAACATTTCTGGAGTCTGCAGCAGCCTGGGAGGAAGGCCTTGACCAGTATTGATTGTCAGGACTGGCTCCTGATTATCTTCCAAATCCATATCGCCACAGGGCACTTTGTGGGTTAAACATGGAATGGGTGGATAAAGATATGCATAATACACATACAAAATGGACAAGTAATGAACTTCTTATTGGGATCTTCGCCTGTGCTGGCAATGAAGATATCTCGATGCTGCTTGTACAGGTTTTCACAGCTTATCACAAGGACCGCAAGTTTTACATCACTGAGTAAACACCCTGTCGAGCTGTACAATCAGCCCAGTATGGATTGGTTGAAGTCCCAGTCTCAGTCGTATAAGCCAGAGAACGTCGATCAGCGATTTCTGCAGAAGATGTAGTTCGAATGGACGAAGTCGAGGCGGACAGGATGTCACGATTGCGATGGAAGGAGCTAGCCAAGAGCCAAATGGAAAAGGATAGGAAAATGGCGTTGAAGAGGGCAGAAAGCCAGGACACAGAGGCATCTCAGGAGAGCCAGAAAATCACTCTGACCATTGTAAGTTGTGATGTCCTCAGGAAGTCCGAGATCAGGCATATTTAGTTGCGTCGATTGATACCAATACGGTCTTCTCGAGTTCGGACAATCCTTGCTTTGTCGCCCGGTAGAGGTTTTAACTCGTCATTTGGATCGAAATTAGTGGCGTTGGAGCTGCTTTTAATGTGTGGATTCTTGTATGTGTCTTCTGTGATTTTGCGAAGCCGCATTTCTTCAAAGGCTGCAATGTCCTCTGATGTAACTGCTATGACTGTAGGCTTGCGACGTAACATTTATGAGACTTGCTTGTTTATTATTTGTAAAGACCTCAGGTCTACTCTGTACGTTTCACTCTATAGAGGTGGAACCATAGACACAATGATGATAGTCACGTGCGGTCATGTGCTTTTTTTCCTGTGGTCTGTCAGACCGACGGGCTTCCGGCAGGGTGATATGTTCATGAGAGCGACCTCGAAGGCTGTCGCATAGCATCACATTTTCGCTCCATCCAGGACCTGAAAATGTTCAAAGCGCAGTCGAGGCTTCTTGCAAGTCATTGTGGCCGTCAGGCGCCAGCAGATGTGATAATTGTATCTACCCGATACTTTTCAATCTCTCGACAAGCAAACAACAGCGCAAGCCAACCAAGTATGTGGAAACACCGGAGCTGTTGTTGTACCCTTGCTTCTGACCATCGTCTGGTGGTTTATGCCTGGTCCTTATCTTCTATCTTCTAATCTACAACTGTCTAGCTCGTCAAGATGTGCCAGCTTCTCCTGCCTCCCACAAATCGTCGCCTACTTCTGCTTCGAGAAGAGTCAACAGTTCAAAGAGTGTAACTCCCCGTCGAACTATGCCCCAGCGCGTGGTTGACGCAAGGTCACTCGCTGTTCCCAAGCACGGAAGTTTGCCTACCAATATACTTCGGAGTCCCCGGTTCCAGAAAGCACGAAACGGGGCACAAGCCCGTGGTCGTAGGACCAAAATGCCTACTTCGACTGCTACGTCCAAAGGCCAGAGAGGTCACAAGCCGAAGGTCCAGCGAAAACGCACAGATATGGAGGAAGTAGATGAAAGTTCACAGGCTGAGATTGAGAATGTTTACGTCAGGCTTTCTAAAACTTCCACGTCTATAGCCAGTCGCTATAATCCTCAACTGGCCGATCACTCTGCCCTGGTTGAGACTTGGCCTTCCTTGCCCATCGATATTGCTGCCAAGAAAGCCGGAGTTATTGAGAAACTATCAATGCTGAGTGATCGATTTCCGAATGGCTACGTCCCACCTCACGAACTGGGCAAGCGCTTTCTTGTAGGACGAAATGTTCGATTTCACAATGAAGAGGAAAAATCGCTTGCCCTTGCTGAGGCCCAAAGACTTGCACAACAACGTGCCGATACATTATCGCAGCGAAAAGGCAACCTCGTGGAACCAGAAGACGTGACTTTTAAGCAGTTGAGTGAAGGTAACAAAAGCACTTTGATTGAGAAGCTTGTTCGAGGAAGCTACACCAAGTTAGAAACTCAACCCGCCGACAAGCCTCAGGTTCTCGATGAAGTCCTGAAGAATCTCAGGAACAACGAAACATATCGGAGTGCTGGAAAAAGCTCCCAATTCGTTGCCAAAGTCGAGTCACTTCTTGCTTCGGGCCGTCCATCACCTGTGCCGAAAGCATGAATGATGAATGAAAGTGCATCTTGGGGAAGTCCTGATCTCTTGTACTACCAATATCTTCCGATCTTGTGTCATTAATGCCCGCTACTCATATTTTCTGAATTTAAGTCATTCATCCCTCAGTTTACTACGAATTACTATTTCTATCTTCAACCGACAGAAAAGTAGTAAAAGACGCTCGCCCCAAGCATCGTAGTTCAACTTGCGATCCAAGCATGATAAGAGAACCCTTTATACTCGCTCCAATGCTTTTCTTGTAGTGTCAAATAACTCCTTCACCTCCTTCTGCCCTCTTTCTGTTAACTTTTCCATTTGGTCTTGAGCTTTGCGAACATCATCAGGCCGGGCAATCTTCTTCTTCTGCATATCTTGCAAACGTTTGTGAGCAACACTCCTCGACTCACGAATAGCACCAGCTGCCTTGTCCATAGCAGCTTTTGCAATTGCCACCGTCTGGTCGCGCAATTCTTTCGTGGGTGGCGGGATGAGGATATTTAGTTGAAGCGCATTATGGGCATCAGGCTGTGGTGTAAGTGATAGGTTTGAAGAAACAATCGCTGAAGTGACTGGTTTGATGTGCTGTAAGACGGAGATGCGAACGAAAAATTATTAGCAATTTCAAGCGATGAGGACACTCAGGCGTCTTGATGAAACGTTACCTCTTCTTCAGAAGCCAGTATGGTAACCGTCCGTCCTCCTTTAGGAACAACTTGCGCCAGGTCCCCCAGTCTCAAGGTGTCTTTGCTCCCTTTGCTTAAGCACACTCGCAGATTCTCTAAGGATTCAGTATTGAAACGGCCTCCGATGCGTAGTTTAGATAAATCATCTCTGAGCCGGGACACGACAGTCGAAATGCCAGCTTGTAGAGAAGAGAGGTCATAAGGGTCTTCCGTAGCTACCCCGGCCTTCGCGGTTGTTTGCTGGGAATCTGCGATAGAAGATCCTCGCGATTTTTCTTTCTTCTTCAGCAGGGTCGTAGAGACAGAGAATGTTCGCGGTCCAGCGACACTTATGGTCTCATTCTCATGTGCGAATAAGAGAGGTCGTTTCTGAGATGTGGAAAGCATGGTGTGACTGTAACTCGAGGAGGAGAAACATCGAATGAGGCCGGGGAGCCTTGAGACTCTCAGCATCTGCTGCAATTCTGGGATATATGCTGCCGTCATTGGAAATCTGCTGCTAAAACCGAGTCCTTGAACTTTGGGGAGGATTTGAACTCGTAGGTTACAAGCGGAGATGGAAGGGGTGCGGATTACGGAGTAGTACTATGATCGATGATTAGATATACGGTAGGGTTACAAGCCGTCATGTAACTTGCATTCATTTCTTCTAGACAAAAAAAAATGAAGGAGCGAAAAGGTAAAAAACAAAGGAGAAGGCAGGGGGGAAAGTAAAGAGCAATAATCCTCTTAAATATCATGTTCAGATTGTGAAGTAGTGAATCATTATTGGCGTTCAGACAAAATGTACTTTTAGTGGTAGAATGCGGTATTATCGTGGTGAAGATATTACATTAAATGGCCCTCGCCGACCGATATCCTGGACTTCATGATCAATACTGTCAGGGCACAGATACACTGAGAACTGATGGTAGCCCCCTCATAGATATATCATGCGACGGGCGTTTCGCATTTCCTAATGATATCCTAGGGCAAAGAGCTTCGATAATATTACTGGCGGAGAACTGCGCAGTGTAAATCAGGCACAATCGCATTCATTTAAGAGTGCTATATATAAGGTGTTTGCTTCATTGCAGCATCACTCGAATATCAAGCTTGCTGGCGTTATTGGCGTATGAATGAGACAAAAGGCTAGGTATCACAGTAAATCTTGAGGGGCAATACTGGCAAGCTTGTCTTTCTGACTTTACTAGGCTAAGCAAAACACAAGACCAGATAGGTCTGCATCCAAATACCAGTCTCATCAATTCATTAATCCCTCTTCACAAACAAATTTCATCTAATCTAGAATCAACTTTTAGGAATTATGCACCAAATCATCAGAGTGGAAAGAGGGGGAGGGGGGAGGGAGGTAGATGGCGGGTGAATAAGAAGCTGCCCCTCAAGTCCAGAAGATCCTTGTCATAAATGCAGATGGAACATAGCCCTAGAATGACACGACGCACGTTCATCCGAAAGTAGACACTCATTGCAGTAAAACCAAGTCAGAAAATGGGGATTGACGTGAAGTATTCCCACGACGATCTCAGCATCGGCATTTACCGAGTGGCCATGGCCTTAGTAATGAGTCTCTTAAGGGCAAGTTCCTTCTTCTTGAGGTCCTCTGGGGTAGAATCTTCAATCTCAAGCTGAGCCATGGCATCACTCAGAGCCGACTCAATCTTCTCCTTGTTACCGCGCTTCAACTTCAGCGACATCGTGGGATCCGAGATGATCTCCTCAACACGAGAGATATAGGACTCGAGCTGCTGGCGCGACTCAAACTTCTTGGTGAAAGCCTCGTCGCTAGACTTGAACTTGGCAGCGTCTGTGCAGCCATGTCAGTCTATAGCACATTTGAATAGATTGAGAAGAGGACTTACCATCAATCATCTGCTCGATTTCAGTAGTGGAGAGCTTGCCAACGGCATTAGAGATAGTGATGTTGGCAGTGCGGCCAGAAGACTTCTCCGTGGCGGTGACCTTGAGAATACCGTTGACATCAACCTCGAAGACAACTTCAAGGGCAGCCTCGCCAGCCTTCATGGGTGGGATAGGCGCCAAAGTGAATTCGCCCAGAGAGGTGTTGTCCGCACAGTTAGTACGCTCACCCTGGTAGACGGGGAACTGGACAGTGGTCTGGTTGTCCACAACAGTCGTGAAGGTACGCTTCTTGATGGTAGGGACAGTCTGACCACGGGGCACAACAGGAGCGAAGATATTGCCTTCCATGGCAACACCGAGGGAAAGGGGAACAACATCCAGCAGGAGCAGATCCTGGGTCTCGGCTGAGGTGGCCTTTCCAGAGAGGATTCCAGCCTGCACAGCAGCACCGTATGCTACAGCCTCATCAGGGTTGATGCTCTGCATTCGTGTTAGCTGATGCAATAGATTACTGGCGTTCGCAAGAGACAGATATAACTTACCTTCTCAAGCTTCTTGCCATCGAAGAAGTCGCTGAGAAGTTTCTGGATGCGGGGAATGCGAGTAGAACCACCGACAAGCACAATCTCATCAACCTTGCTCTTCTCGAGACCGGAGTCCTTAAGAACCTGCTGCACAGGCTCCAGAGTACCGGAGAAGGATTTCGCATTGAGATCCTCGAAGCGCGCACGGGTGATGGAGGAGTTGAAGTCTTCACCATCGAAGAGAGAATCAATTTCAACAGTTGTCTGGGTGGCGTTGGACAAAGTACGCTTGGCGCGCTCACAGGCGGTTCTCAGACGGCGAAGAGCCCTAGCGTCTCCTGAGAGGTCCTTTCCAGTCTTCTTCTGGAACTCCTTCTTGAAATGATCAAGCAGGTTAGTGTCGAAATCCTGCCCACCAAGGTGAGTATCACCGGCAGTGGCCTTGACGGTGAAAACGCCTCCCTGGATGTTCAGGAGGGAGACATCGAAAGTACCACCACCAAGATCGTAGATGAGAACGTTACGTTCCTTATCCGACTTTCCGGAGCCCAGACCGTAGGCGATGGCGGCGGCAGTGGGTTCGTTGATGATTCTAAGAACGTTCAAGCCTGAGATAGCACCAGCGTCCTTGGTTGCCTGACGTTGGTTGTCGTTGAAGTAAGCTGGCACGGTGATGACAGCCTTCTCGACCTTCTTTCCGAGTTTGGTCTCGGCAACTTCTTTCATCTGTCCGTATGGGTCAATTAGTCTGTCCTGTACAGCATCCCAGGTGGTTTCACATTCATACCTTCATCAGGACCATGGCAGAGATTTCTTGGGGGGAGAAAGTCTTGGTTTCTCCAAGATACTCGACCTCGACGACAGGGTTGCCACCCTGATCGACAACCTTGAATGGCCACGACTCGATGTCCTTCTTGACGATGGGATCCTCGTACCGCCGGCCAATAAGACGCCTGGATTCATGAATGAGGAAAAGCTCATATTACCCTTTTTCAGGCTCGACTCACTTGATGTCAAAGATAGTGTTCTCCGGGTTCATAGCCGCCTGGTTCTTTGCGGCCTCACCGATCAAGCGCTCCTTGTCGGTGAAGGATACAAAGGACGGAGTTGTGTAGCTACCCTGCTCGTTGGCAACTAGATTAAACTGTCAGAATTGATCTTCTTTATTGTGGCATGTTAACAAAACATACTAATTTCAACATTGGTGCCCTCATAGTTGGCGACACAAGAGTAGGTCGTGCCTGAACAGATATTAGCAATGTTTCTCCAAGGTAAATTCGATGTAAGAGATTTTGCCGTCCGTACCAAGATCAATGCCGATGGCACCTTCGTAGACTTCGTCCGACATGTTGATTTTGGATATCAAAAACAGATTACAGAAAAAGAAAATAAGGAAAGGACCCGGAGCAAGGTGAGTTGAAGGGTGAAAGAGGAAAAAAGGGTAGGTTTAAAAAATTTCTGGAGGGTCAGTGTGGGAGCGGGTTGACTTTTAAGAGTCGTCCGAAGTCCGAACCCACCATGGTTGGTTTTTTTTTTTTCTAATCCAGTTTTTTTTTTTTTTTTGCCTTCTGTGCCTTAACAAATCAGCTTTCATGTCCATTGTTGAAGACCAAACCTAGAAGAAGGGGAGGAAAAATTCAAAATTAAAAAATAAAAATCCTTTCTTCTTTGACTTGGTTATTCATTACTGTTTTATCACTCACTCTCTCAAAAGTCTCTTTTTTCTACTTATTAACTATTTACCAGGGTGTTCACATACAACTCAGATAGTCTATGTAACTACTTATCACCCATAATATCCATCCTCTCTCTCCCTCTCCCACTCTCTGTATATACCAGTTGATGAGAGAAGTTCGAATTTTACACAGTAGACATCATGGTACTACTTAGATACCCAGTCTTGGTAAGTTTGATTCTTATAAGGACCGCTTCTCATGCATTTCTTGTGATGTCTTCCCACCCTCGAGGGCTCGAAGGAAGCGCCTTCTATATATTCTAAGGTAATTCACATATTTATATCACAAACCATGGCTACCATGCGGGGTATTGTTGAAGTACGATGGACAGATACTCAGTATCAGGACTCAAGAGAGCACAGTAGCCGAACAAAATTAATTTATCTATCTACCTAATATGTATATACGTAGCTTTTCCGCTCTTTTCAGCATCATCATTATCATAATTTAGACTGTGCAGGACAGAATGTAAATTACATATAATGATGGACTACTTATTGAGTGTTGTAGTCCAAACATAGAGGAGATAATGGCCAGTAGAATGTTTGCATTATGTGGCGTAAATACTCTCTGTACCAAATCTACGGAGGAGGGTTCTTCCTCACAAGAGGGAGTACCTAGAAATCCTTAGATGTTTTTGATATTGATTGGGGTAGGCTGGTATTGACTGGTTTTTAAATACGGTTAAGCAGCAGAGGGAGAAAACTATGAAGGACAGTGATGAATAAATTTACTCCATACCTTCGTATGTTACCTCCTTATATTTGTCCTACTACTCCGTACGTTCAATATTAATGCCGTTATTATATTTATCACTCTCTTCAAGGTTACCTATTAGATAGATGCCGAGACTATCTGGAAGCGAATCTACAGAGTACTTTACTTTACTATCCATCTATCTGCCCTTTGTATGCCATGACAGTTCTTCCTCCAGTTTTCAAAATATACAGCGCGGTCCCACACCTGAGAACCAAGGTATTACCTATCATTACACTGGGTATCGAGGTGCAGAGTAAGGAGTACCTTACTATTAGTATTATTTTTATGATAGATTAATTACGCATTGTAAATTTATTCCCCAAGTTACTACTAGTCTAGACTAGAATGAATCTGCCAATACCTCAATCCATAACCACTTAGACTACCTTATTAGTTACTTGCTCTACTATTCAATTTCACTTGTTTTGAATCCAGACAAATCAGCTTCTCTTGACCATCGTTGGTAACCACAGTTTGCTTAGACCCTAGATTTTGTCCGCGTGCATATAGACATCTTACTTTTGCCTTGGTCAAACAGTCCCACCCCCCGAGTCCTATGAGATCTTCGTGCCCTTCTGAGAACCTCCAGTGAGTAACCCAGGTTACGCTATTTAGCATGTGATGATCCGGCACTGTATGGATTTCTGGCTGACAATCAAATTGGCGTTAGGTTTCGAATTCCAGCGATCCATATCGCTCATATTCTCCCAGATGGACATCGACACAAGCAGGAGGAACAAGAAGCCCCGCCTTCTGTTGGAATCCGAGAGAGAGAGGCTTGAAGAATTTATCGACTCTATACACTATTCAGCAAGGTATTATCTTCGGGCAATACTATATTCGTATATTTTAACATCTATAGATATTCTGACGATCAGTTTGAATATCGACACGTCCAACTACCTAAGAACATGCTGAAAAAGATTCCTGCCGATTATTTCGACAGCTCAAAAGGGACACTAAAGTTGCTATGGGAAGATGAATGGAGGGCTCTTGGTATCACTCAGGTGCGGTATGATTCGGCGTTGAGTATACACCCACAGTCTAACAAGTATCTCTTGGATCATTCAGAGTCTAGGCTGGGAACATTATGAGGTTCACGAGCCGGAGCCGCATATTCTTCTGTTCAAGTAAGCCATCACCTGACTCCGGAGGAGTTCTATCGCCGACTGATGTTCTCTTAGGCGGCCTCTAAATTATCAACCACCGGTGTCACAGTAGGTTGACAAAAAATCAATGCACACCATGCTAACTCCGAACGGAGACATTTCAAGTAGTGCTAGCCTGTGGCATTGATGCCATTCATGCCATGCATTTAATCCAGGGCGTGAGATTATTTCTAGGAGATCATTGAAGACTTCATACATGAGCGCTTTGGGAATCGGATATGGTCTCATTTTGATGCATGATGAGTAAAGCCATTGACATCAATGTATGCTGGACCCATTTTTTTACAACCATTATTTTCTATTCTCCTCCTACTGTGCACATTGATGAAGGACACATATTTTCCCTCACATCTTATCCCTTCCCTCATGACCCCCTGGATTTATAGTCAAATTTTAGGCTACATACACTACTAATGGATTTACTGCTAATTCTTTGACCCGTATCATTAGTTTCGGATGGTGATCATGCTGACATCAATTGTGAAACTAGGAGTACTTGCGAGGATGTGATATCTAGGTTGGCATGGGTAAGCAAAACGTCAATGCCTGGGTACCAAAGCCCCTAAATATCTGATGGTAGCATCATGTTTTAGATAGGTAGGTGTCTCTATGGTGATTAGATACGATCCAGTTTGTTTAGTCACATTGTATTCAATTGTTTGCCTTGGTTGTTAAAAAACTTCTAGAAAGCCTAGCATTTCTTCCTAGCATCAAGCATATTATCGGCAATGTCTATTATATCTAATCATCGTCTGAGGATTAAAGACCAGGTGACACCAACCATATATGGCACTACTAGATACCGGTTAGTAGGAGATGTCTAGACCCTGGTACACTTCTAGCTGTGTGGTGGTACTCTGCACTGAGTAACCCATATATGTGCCCATTACAGAGTGATTGTTCAATCATAAACCGGATTTGAAATACACTGTCAAAGTATGTTAAGCATCGAATGATGATGGGATAAGTAGATATGAATTAGCGGGGTGTGGTCCAAAGTGTTTACATGGAGGTCGAGACTCTCGGTTGGAGATATCAGTCAACGGATTCATCTCCATTACTTCGAAAGAAGACCCATCCATTTTGTAGCTGCAGAACCGATTTGCCAGAGGCAGTCTCTTGAGATAGGAATTATTTCTATTGACATCGACCACCAAGCGGTTTTTGATTGTAAAGATTCAAGTCCTTGAGCTGCATCGACACATTCGTCCAGCGAGATGCTGATGGGTCGTACTCACCACGAACCTCGACCCTGCAAAAGCCATTGGGACCCTTCAGTCCAACGGGACCAACAAAGTAGAACGCACCACGGCGGGGAGTGCGCAGCTCTCGAGCATAATAGTCATTTAGACGCCATTTGAATGCTAAAGAGGCCACGTACAAATCTGAATTCGAATCACACTTCAGCTGTGGTAACCATTGAAGAGAAGTTAATATTGACGGGGGGCGAAGCCAGGGGTTGCTTTTTTGTGGTATGCTCTCGTGGTATTCAGGAGATAATGACGGCCGTGGCTGAGGTTTCAATAGTTGAGTGAAACCGTCAGAACCGGGCATCTTCAGGTTCTTCTCAGCTAATGACTTCGCGGATGGATTCTGATCAGAGTCATAAGACTTCGCACTAAATAATCGTCTCCTGATCAGAATGAGATAGGTGTCCCATATAGCACGTGCAACCAAAAGTGGTTGCATGCATCTTCGGATGCGATCACCAGCTTCTGAAGAGATTGATCTGGTAGTCCAGGAAATTCCGGTGTCTCCGAGTTCCAATCTAGCAGTATGTGAGCAAAAGAGAACAACAAACAGGAACATACCATTTACAAACCCGGAGAGTGTATATTCAGGTGGAGCACGAGAGGGGAAGTGTTGTATAAGCCAGGACCCGGTGACCAGCAATGGTCCCCCAAGAAGCCGTGAAAGGACAACAGATCCAGCTGCCTCTCTCAGAACTGTGGTAGCTAACTCGTCTGCACATGTAAGCAGTGTATATTAATCATTGCTGTGACTTAGACAATACCTCTGAGAGTTTGAAGCCTTTCGCCATCTCGCGATATTTTCATGAACTCACGCCACTCTGGGTCTAATGCCCCGTAGAAATCACCGTCGCGTAGATGTGGCCAGCCCATTGGAAAGAAGAAAGATTCCGTAGCAGTCAAGTCATTTGTAGAAGACAAAGACCCATAGGAGCCCCTTTGATCCTCTGCAACTTTCTGGTTTGATGTAGCATTCGGGGGTTCTTCAATTTTCTCAAGTGTCTCGTCAAACTGCCCAAAGACAAACAAACCCCAAAGCTGGAATGCAGCTCCATATAGGATGCATGTTGTGACAAAGTTTCTGGTGAACAAGGTCAATGTGAGCTTTGCGGAAAAGTAGAAGAAAAAAACATGTCTGATGTATACCACGCATGAACATGCAGAACTGGTAGGCTACCCACTTAACCCAAGGTCGTTTAAACTTGACATGATGGCTTGTTGCAATGCTGCGAGATCGATGTCGAATGATATGATTCGAAATCCGAAGATTCAGAAGCTGTGGCTTTGTTCGAAGCATTTGGTGACAGAATAATTAAGAAGTGTGCTGTCCGTGATTCATGTGAAGGACTAATCTTCTTGTGATCTGCTCATAGATGGTTTGCTCACAGGAGTGAGCTTGAGTGCGAATAGATGCTAAGCAGGATATTGGATGACAGTGGACAACAACAGATAATCACACAAAAAGATTTTCTGCTGTTATATTTGTGTACTGAGGTATATCACAAGGGAAAGCATAAGTTGCTTGGATATCTTAATATCATGAAATACCTATTCAAGGAATATAGGTACGCCATATCATGGATCGTTATCTACACGTGACAGGGAATTCATTGTATACGGAGCACGTACTGGCATTACATCCATGTTGGCTAACTTAGATGTTGGCAACACCTTTTGGCCTTCCAAGCATTATATTTCATACTATTCTTAGGGAGATTTCCGTATTATATTGGTCTTTAATCAATATTTAGGAGACATTGAGCCAGCATGCGACAAGCCCTCAGCTTCATTGCTTTGTCGGTGATGATCACACTGGGTGCCAGCTCACCAGGTGCATCTATCATCGTCTTCGATTCATACCCGAGTTCGGAAGTTTCTGGGATTTCTCTCATACCAAATGATGCCGCTCAGAGACTTCTTGATTATCGAACAAAATCCCCTATCTTGACTGATCTCGGCCAGCCGGATCGAGACACTGTTCGGCTTCTCAACCGATATGGAGGGAAACAGCCCTCATTGTTTGACAATGTTGATACGAGTGAACCTTCAAAATACACCAATCTCATCATTTTACAAGGGCTGGATCCTGCGACTGGTGAGGAAATCGATTATATCTTGGACCGCTGAAAATGCTGATCTCCCATGGCCAAATCTGAAGAGTCCTACATTGAAAGCGAGTATAGGGAGAGCATGATCCCCTTTAATTATGAAACAGTTCTTCTGTATGGCAACTCTCCCAGTCCAAGTGTCGATGAAGATGGCGAAACTGGGAATCGCTGTCTCTTCTATCCAAATAGCAAGCAAGAAAAATTAGAGGAATTGCAGGTAAGCACGGCTGATTCTTTGTTATTATGGTGCATTTGCCAGAAATCAATCTGACTCATAATCAACTTCAGGCATCTTGGTCGTGCTTTCCGAAAGAATCTACTCTCATGGAAGCTTTTCAGGCACTTGGCGCGGAACTGCCCAACCACCTTGAATTCGTAGAATCGGTGTTTGACCGTCAGCGGTCCGTGGCAATCTGGAGGCTATATTTCAAGGTATTCCTGTATTATTTATAGTAACCCTTATTTGACTTAACTGACGGCAATTGCAGTCTCCACAGCGATCCGCACACCACAGGGCCTTGATCAAGCCATTGGAGTCGTTTTTGAATGAAATTCGATTGCTCTCACTCAAGGGCACCGCGATCACAGTGATGTCCTTGCCAATGTCAGATGGATCTCAGAGCCTTGACAGGCGTAACAGGTTTGAAGGCGGGGCTCTAAATAAGCCCACCGGTCCTTCAACGGCGCAATTGTTCCGAAGAAAATCATCTATCCCGATGCCTTCGGGTCCAGTTTGCCATGTGTCCAATTCATCATGCAATGAAGCAACAAATGGCTGTTCCGGACATGGATTCTGCGAAAGAAAATCGCTACCGGGAAGTGGTTCTGCTGGCAGTGACTGTTATTTCTGCAGGTGCCAGGACACCATTATCAGGAATGACGATGGTACTACGCAGAGGTTACGATGGGGCGGTTCTGCTTGTGAGAAGCAAGACCTGAGTTCTCCCTTCTTTCTAGTAGGGTTTGTCAGCATCTTAGCTATTTTGATAGTCGGGGTTGCCGTTGGGATGTTGTTCAAGGCTGGGCAAGATGACATACCCGGTGTCATAAATGCTGGGGTGGGAACGGTGAAAGCACACTCATAGAAATACCCTCCGTGTATGATCCGAGACTTTCTTGGTACACTCACGAATGGGATAGGTGATTCTCCTTATCACAGGGTTCCAACCGTCCGCAGGGTGTGGTCAGTGGGAAAATGAAAAAACCATATGTTATCCACTTCCCTGGGTGAATAAACCTTAAGTCCATAGTCACCATGAATATTCAACTTCGAGCGACTATATATATATATATGTTGTTGATTATTTTCAAAATTGCCTTTGTGGGGATTAACATAACACAAAAGGGTGGGGAATTTAGTACTGGCTCAATGACTTATCAGAATCAATACAAAATGACCAGCGTGACTGATAGCTCTTAAAAAGATATATATACATCAAACATCACCCAGGCCAAGCGAGGTTTGAACCAAATAAAAAATTATGCGCAAGAAACATTGCATAGCTAAGGGCCTTTCCCGACGCGCGCTTGTCGTCGACTGAGGTTTTCTCAACGAGCGCATTTATTAAGATCTCAGATGGCGAGAAGAACTCTGCTCACCATTAGGTGTCTAATAACTGATAGAACAACATTCCAGATGTCAGTTCATCAAGTCAGTATACCACAGAAGATTGATGAAGATAGTGCGCATCCACACCCCTGATGGCTGGATTGGGAAGGTCAGGTGTTGAAGCCGGCCTCGACTTGACCCGGTGTTCGACTATCAACATGAGTTGAGGGAGGCATTTGCGGGTACCGACTATCCCTCGAGGCACGGTACCGACCAAGGGAAGGACTAGCGAGAACGTTGCGAAGACGAGGAAAGGTTAGAGTCGAGCTCCAATGCCGTGGTCTGGAGTCAACCAATCCAACGTTCGTTATATGGCCAGCCATTAACGGTCCTTCATCACGGGCGCCTACTCGCCGTGGTGTATGTACCATGTTCTCTGGAGCAGCTAATTGTAGACGTCGCTGTGGCAGGATATTAGTTCGCCTAAAGGGATTCACTCGCCATCCTATGAAGACAGCCTGCGGTTGACTCGGGACGTGGGTCACGCCGTGCGGCTCTGCACTAGCTTGTTCCGCCGCGGGATCCAATCGAGGTTTCGGGGTATAATAGTCTGCTTTACACAAAGGGCAGCACGCTCTTCGACTCGTCAACCAGGGGTCAACGCAGGACGCATGGAAGGCATGACCACATGTTAGCCCCCGGATATCGTCATTATCCTCGATCGCATCGAGACAGATTGCACAGGAATCCGCTGGATCTGGTAGAAGTTCGGCTGGCATTGCAGTCTGAATGTGGTGAGCAACATCTTCGTTCTCTTCTGGAAGGTGGCATCCATCCCTAAAATGTCCGTGTATTGCCTTCACCTCAAAACCTGTGAATTTAACATCACTTTTCCGGTCATGGTGCATTGAACGACGATCGAGTTTCTCCTCCAGTTGGGTTGCTTCTGCGTTGGGATTTTCGGGAAGTGTTGGAGACTGTTTGATGGCAGTCTGGATATGACGTTGGCTATCCACCGCTGAGGTTCCCCCCAATGACGAAGACGCACCAGTGCTCTTGATCAAAGTGCCGTCTTCTTCCTCATAACTCTGAGAATTGCTCTGCCGCGTTGATGATACGTCTGGTGTTATAACGGCATCATTGTTCTGTAAGAATCTCCACGATTTGTACTTGACAAGCGGAAATCGTTCATTGACTTCGTCCATTGTCATTAACTTCTTTTCTCTCCTCCGCCTGTGCGTGCGAGGCATTGTAACCAGGTCGATTGGCTCACCCGTTTCTGAGGTTCGTAGTTGACGATTCCGTTGGTTGTATCGGAAGCAATACTTGACGCCAACAATAATCCTAACGTTTGAGATTAGACTTGAGTAAACTGGACTTGGAATGCATCGTGTGGGCACCAAAGCTTACCATAGATTTGTAAAGACCACACCAAATCCAAGAGCAACAAAAAACAACAAGGGTGATTTGGTGGAACTCGGACTGTCAGTGGGTTGGCTAACGTTTGTGGAACCAGCGGAAGAACCAGCGCTTGTAGATGACATCGCGAGAACAGAAGACTTCGACTGATGAGCTTGTCTTTGAAGGCCCCCGTGTTGGTATCGGTAACTCAGATATGTTCGGCAACAACACGATTCTCCAAGTTTAGTTGTTATACCGTCTTTATATCGCTGGGAGCATATCAAGACACAGGAGAGCTGATACTTATGTCAAGGGTGCTTTATTTGTCAATCAGCTCATTTACTGGCTGGTTAAGACTCCAGGTACACTCAATGATGTGCACCTGGTAAGTCATCACTATTGGGGAGGTTTGCCTCAATCTGATAGTGGTCGAAGAACTGCTATTCGGTGCCTTGTGTTTGACCTCCTTTTTTTTTTATCTTTTTCCCCCTCCCTTTAATAATTTGATGTTGTTCGCATTTCCTCACTGCGAAATGCTGGCTGGCACTTTATCTTGGTTGTAGAGAGGAGTTGGTGATTAATGCTGCGTGGGATATATCTCGGGTCACGGGGTGCGATGCACAATCGACCCCATCATAGTAAGGCATACTAATGCTTGGAAGATATGCAGAGGGAGCAAAATATCTATGCTATGTAATAAAGCTTTCCCCTTCGCAAAGAAGACGACCTGAACTTTATGTAAAAATAGTTCAGTGCCTGAAATTAATAACCCACAGCTGAATTGTATCTGGATCATTAGGTATATGGATTACTCATTTCAGGTTCATATTTTGTTGGCATTAGCAACAACTTGTATGGAACAACAGCGAGCTTCAATGCATTTGTTCTGTGAGATGCCAATGTGACAAGGAGTCTGTTCAAGTGAACATTCCTTTACATTGGAATACTAAAAAAAAAATGATTGACCCTAGGAAGAAAACGTTTACCTATCTAGTCCTCCTTACTCGAACTAATCGAGAACCAATGTTTGGATCACCTGGAGGTTTAAACCACTTCCTAAGGTATCAAGCTATCTCTCCTTCCCCTCCTATTTGTCTAAAATCAGTTGAAACCGATAACGCTGTACATACTGGGGGTTATCACTATCCACAACGCTAGAGGTAGATTTGAGCAGTAAGTATATCCCCCGTTCTAATACACAGTAACTAACTCCATGAATGAATGAAGGTTGTCAACATCCAGGAAAATGGGCATCCATCCCCAGAGCATGGGTGAAAGCCCAAATCCAATAGTTTTTTTTGACGTAACTCTGGGAGGTAGGTACTTCAAATCTCCACAATTACCATGATGAAAGCATGCACATACATACACACACATACAAGTCCAAAAGCTATGTCTACAATCAGTGTCCGGATGGCGGAACTGTGAATCCCATCAACGACAGAGGATTAAAGCTTGCCTGCATGATAAGCTGATATGCAATACACACAGGCGAGCCACTCGGTCGCATAAAGATGGAATTGTTTGCAGATGTCACCCCGAAGACAGCAGAAAACTTCCGCAAGTTCTGTACAGGGGAAAGCAAAACTGCTCAAGGGAGACCGCAAGGTTATAAGAACAGCAAGTTTCATCGAGTGGTATGTTCGGATGATATTCAAAGTGGTTATGTGAGAGCTGAACTGATTTCATGGAAGATCAAGGATTTTATGATACAGGGTGGCGATTTTGTCAATGGTGACGGCTCGGGTACCTGTTCAACCTTCGGCACATCTACATTTCCAGATGAAAATTTCGTTCTGCAACATGACCGTCCAGGTCTTCTAAGCATGGCGGTAAGGTCGATAACACTATAATTCGATGTTGCTGCTGACCTGCATAGAACTCTGGACCGAATACAAATGGTTGTCAGTTCTTTATAACAACCGCGACAACTCCGTTTTTGAATGGAAAACATGTTGTGTTTGGCCAAGTACTATCTGGGATGGACATTGTGAGAATGATAGAAAACACGCGAACGACCAGAGACAAGCCAAGCCAGGATGTGACTATCGCACAATGTGGGGAGATGTAAGCTTGGCGTCTTCGGCAGCTCTTATTATCCACGACATACAGATTCTGAGACTTATGTGAAGGGTCGCAACCTGCGACGACCAAGGAGAAGAAATTCGTCAGATGCTGAATTTAGAAAGATAATCAGAAGCCAATGCGATGGCCTCTTCAACCTTATTTGGGTGAACGCCATTGCCAATTGACGTTGGACCCTTCCCACCGGCTTTCCCTCCGACAGCACCAGAGACTGTGGCAGCCCAGTCATTTGCCGAGGCACCCTGGTCAATCATTGCCTTCGAAAAGATAAGTAAGCATGAGTTACCACTTTGGGACAAACAGCCAGAAAAAATAAGGGTATGATGAAACCTACCTTGGACACGTAGCATCCATGAGCCACTCGACCCTGTTCAGAATCTGCAGCTAGAACATAGACTGTCTTATCTTGTAGTTTGGATTTGACAAAGTTCAAAGACTCACTGACGGCTTTCGCATTTGCCGAAATAGGAAGCCTGGTGACTAACCAGGATTTTTCACTATTCTCGGGGGCTTCAAAGTAAGAGGTGATGGCATCAAGGGCCTTCTTGGATTCGAGTTTTTGCAGTGATTTTTGTCCATCAATGACCTTCTTGTTGATGGCTGCAAAACGTTCCCGAAGCCGAGATTTCTGCACAGCGGAAATCGAAAGTTGATTGAGCTCAACCTGCACTTGCTTAGCTTCTTGTTCTTTTTGCGGCCCTAAAGGCATAGCGTCGAGGCGGTCTAGTCGCTTGGCAAAGTCTGTCGCAACTTGCTGCACTCTATGGGCATCTTCCCCAGTCACGGCGATGATCCGGCGAATACCTTTCGCGATACCACTCTCCTCTAAAATGACGAGGTCTTTGATATCGCCAGTTTTCTGAACATGGGTGCCGCCACAGAACTCAATGCTGACTTCGTTCCAGCGAGGGTCTTTCACATTTTGAAGAATTTCTTCCACCTCCACGCCAACAGAGACTACCCGGACAGGGTCCGGGTATGTCTCGCCGAAGACAGCTCTAACGCCTGTGATTTGACGAGCAGTGGCAAGAGGGACTTCTTGTGAATAAACGTCACAGTTCTGTCGAATGTATTCAGTGGATATGTCCTCGATCCTCTCGAGCTCTTTTTCTGTCACAGCTGATTTATGCGAAAAGTCGAACCTGAGCTTTTCGGCAGCAACAAGAGACCCCTTTTGCTCAACCGAATCACCAAGAACTCTCTTGAGTGCAAAATTCAGGATGTGTGTTCCCGTGTGGTTGTTCCGGATGGGCCAGCGACGAAGCTCGTCGTACTCACAAAGGACAGTATCTCCCACGGAGAAAGAGCCATACTTCATGAAACCTGTATGGAGGACATAGCCAGCGTAAAGCTGAACATCACTGACTTCTAGCTCGGCTTTCCCATCAATGATGATCCTCCCAATATCATTTTCCTGTCCGCCCTGCTCAGCGTAAAAGTTGGTGCGATCAAGTATGATTCCAATTTGTTCTCCGGCTGATATGACGGCAGTGTCCGAGTGGAATACTTTCCCGTGGTAGATTGCTTTGACTTCCGCATTGATGTTGCACATTTCGAACTTGAAACTATCATCGGTTTTCGGAACGTCATTCATTTTCTCCAACTTGCCCAGGTCATGGACATCCAACTTAACCGTGTCTGTTGCGGATTTTTTCTGCCCTTTACTGGCCTCTTTCGCCTTCAAACGTGCCTCTTCGAACTCAGTATCGTCAATCTTTAAACCCCTTTCCTCTGCCATAAGGCGAGTTAAATCAACCGGAAACCCAAATGTGTCATACAGTCGCCAAACGTCAGCCCCATGTAGTTTGTCGTTACCCTTAAGTTTCGCTTGTTGTGCATAGCTTTCGAATTGTCGCTCACCACGGTCCAAAGTCTTGGCGAATGAAATCTCCTCTTCATCCAAGATTTCCATGACATCTTGCTGTTTCTTCCTCAGTTCTGGAAACATCTCCCCAAGTTGGTCGACCAAAATGGGGACCAATTTTGAGAAAAAGTTACCTATCTCGACTTGGAAATATTTTCGAGCATAGCGGGCGCCTCGGCGCAAAACTCGTCGTACCACATAGCCACGGCCGTCACTGTTCGGCGTCACGCCATCTGAGATGGCGAAGGTTAAGGTCCGAACGTGGTCCGCAACAACACGGTAAGCCGTGTCAATACCATCAGCGTCACCAGAGCCAAACATTCCTCGATATTCACGTGCTCCTGTGATGTCTTTAATGGCTCCAAACAATGGAGAAAAGACGTCGGTGTCATAATTGGAGGATTTGTCTTGGAGTACGGATACCAGACGCTCGAATCCCATTCCAGTATCAACATGCTTGTTAGGCAAGGGCCGCAACGTCCGATCCGTTTCCCGGTTGTACTGTATGAAGACATTATTCCATATTTCAAGCACATTGGGATCGTCCTGATTGACAAGATGAGAGGCATTGCGCCCACCAATTCGATCGTAGTGAATCTCACTACAAGGCCCACAGGGACCTTGATCGCCCATCTCCCAAAAATTGTCTTTCATATTTCCCGGGAGAATATGGTCCTCTGGTACGCCTACAGCAGTCCATAGAGCCTTGGCCTCCAAATCAGGCTCCAAGCCACCCTCTTCATGACCTTCAAAATAGGTCACATAGAGGCGCTGGGGATCGATGCCATACACTTTTGTCAACAGTTCCCATGAGTAACGGATAGCATCTTCTTTGAAATAGTCACCGAAACTCCAGTTTCCGAGCATTTCAAAGAACGTCTAGGTGTTAAGCAGTTACCATTAGTGATGGAAATCGTTCGGCATTGCCAGTTCAACTTACATGGTGGTAACTGTCCTTCCCTACATCGTCCAAATCCTGGCAGCGCTGCTGTTAGACAAACTATATTGCTTGGACAGATCCTGAATACTGCTTACATTATGCTTTCCTCCAGCGCGGATACACTGTTGACATATGTTAGTGTCAAAATCCCTCCGATGATGGGCTACAGGCATACCTTTTGCGAGTTGACTGCACTTTTCAGTCTTGCAAAATCAGAGTGCGGATCGACAGTCCCTAGGAATATAGATTTAAATTGATTCATCCCAGCATTGGTAAAAAGAAGAGTGGGATCCGAGTGAGGCACAACAGGGGAAGAAGGAACTTGACTGCTGTCAGCTAAGTATACAATGTCAAAGATAAGTATGAAGCATACCGAAAGTGTGGCCATTTTTCCTGAAGAAGTCCAGAAAGGTGTCGCGGACCCGTCTGGCAGTCCACTCTTCACAGTCTTTGGAGTCCAGAGTCATCATGAAGTGTCGATGAAGAGTTTTGGGGGACAAGGATGCTGGTTTGTGTGTGGTGTGCAGACGGTAGAAAGTTCTGGGTTTTGACCTAAATGGTGACAGTGGATGACTCAAAGCTGGGTGCCCCTCCAAGGTTCGAAAGATACGCATCAAGCAGCCCATTCAATGGTGCTACCAACGCTTCTCATGCCTATCCGCTGGGAAATCTTGTATTTATATCTGCTTTTTGGTTCGAAGAGATTTACTCCGCAGAAAACCCTGTCGTAGGACGGGTGCACGTCGATTGCTGCGGGTGGCGCAACGAAATCCTGATGTTTCAAAGCCCGCCGCACAGTAGAAAGCGACCCGCGGAAAGCGATCTAGAGGGGGACAATCAGCCGTTAGCAAAGAGACTCGGGCGCCTACGCATTGGTTGGTATCATATTTATTTGGCTCAATTTCTGGATATTTGGCCAGGCCATTGGCTGATCAAGGTTTACTTTATTTTAGATCCTTGTCTATCTGATACCTCTCGAAAATGTGGGGATTTGTCACCTCTTCGACCGAGCTCAATGCAAATCACCGATGCTATGATGCTGGATGATCCCGAGCATACAATGGATATCCGCAATCTTGATGATAAAATAGTCGATTCCGGGCCCTCGGAATCCTCGATAACCATTTTACCAGGGGTTGAAGCAAGTTTGCCATCCATTCCAGCGCTATTAAAAATGGACATCAGACCTGGATGCAGTGATCTTGTTCTTTACCAGGACCCGAAGTCCCTGACTGTCCCACAGGAAAGGGACTATGTTCGGAAGGCAATAGTGGAGACCAGGCAGCGAGTTCGATCAGAACAGATTGACCGGATTCTCTTCCCAAGAAGCCAAGCAAGACTTTCAGGTGGTACGGTATCAGATAGCAGCAACTCGGGTGGGAATTGCCATCCTGATAGTGATGCAATGGATATTGAGACTGTCCTCTGATGGTTTAAGCGCCTGTTTATTTTGTTTCAGGATTTCCAACACTGTGTAGGGGCTACTTGATTGATTCAGCACGTATGTAATACTACATCATATTTCTGATCATCACAGTGGGTTTTTGTTAGGTGCAGCAAGACATGGTGGTTTTATGCCAGGATGTAGTTAAACAATGTTATAAAACAGTTGACTGATGATGAAGCCTCAGGTAGAATTGCCTAACCTTGGTTAATTTCTTGCTAGGGGCAGCAAAAATGTGATCACATCATCACACTCAATTTGCATTTAGTCTGAGTTTAGGTGGGTTCATTACAAGTTGACATCAAATTTCTTAGGTTTTAAGTTTGTGATCCCAACAGTAGTTCAAATCTAAATAACTACTAAACTAAGACTTAAAGATTCTTAAGGTAAGGGTAAATAGTATTTAATCTATTTAAATACTATTTATATATCCCTACCTATATATAGAATACTTTATATCCCTAGATTAATATATTATATTTCCTCTTTCTATTTCTTAACTAGATAGATGGATAATGCTAAATATAATAAATAGTAGTATGAGATTAAAAAGAAAGAGAATAAGTATTAAATATTCTTAATATTAATTATTAATTTTAACTATAACTTAATTATAATATATTATATATAGTAGTATATCTAAAGAAAATATATTATTTAAGACTACTTAAAAGAACTAAATCTTATATATAAGAGTAAATTACGTATATTCTTTCGTAATATTATGCTATAATTATTATAATATATCTTTAATTAAAGTTATTAATTTAAAATTAGATCTAGAAAGTTTCTTTAATATATTTATTATAATCTTACTTTTTTTAAGAGTCCTTATCTAATCTTAATCCTATAAGATAGTATTTATTAGCTTATTATAACTTCTTCTTTATATTATTATTAATACTTATTTTATAATATATAAATTAATTATAATAGTCTAATATTAAGATTCTATATTAATTTTAGGCTCGCACCCGTGTGGATTATCTTATCTCACTGTATTCTACCTTGGTCATCTCTTCTCCCTCACACCCGTGCAGATTATCTTATCTTATTATATTCTATCTTAGTTATCTCTTCTCCCTTACACCCATATAGATTATCTTATCTTACTATGTTCTATCTTAGTTATCTCTTCTTCCTTATATCTATATAGATTATCTTATCTTACTATATTCTATCTTAGTTATCTCTTCTCTCTTATACCTATATAGATTATCTTATCTTACTATATTCTATCTTAGTTATCTCTTCTTCCTTATATCTATATAGATTATCTTATCTTACTATATTCTATCTTAGTTATCTCTTCTCTCTTATACCTATATAGATTATCTTATCTTACTATATTCTATCTTAGTCATCTCTTCTTCCTTATATCTATATAGATTATCTTATCTTATTATATTCTACCTTAGTTATCTCTTCTCCCTTATACCTATATAGATTATCTTATCTTACTATATTCTATCTTTATTAAGAAAGATAACTATGTGCTAGTAATATATTAATCTTTAAGGAATCTAAATAAGGGATATTAATAACCCCTAAAAACTAGCTAATATATTATTATAATTACCTCTAATATATATACTACTAATCTTACTAAATTAAGAATTATATTAGTTAGTAATTAGCTAATTAGATAATACCCTTATTATTATATCTCTAACTAACTAGACCCTGCACCTACTACTACCCTAATTAATTAGATTATAACCTAGTAGCTAGTACTAATAACTAGGCCTCTTTACTATAATATTATAGCCCTAGCCAGGCACCTATAGGCTTTTAAGCTATATTTTATATATTAAGCTCCCTCCTACTAAAGATAGCTCTTTAAATAGAATAATTAGCTAATTACTAGTTATTTAGCCCTAATAGGCACAGCCTCTCTATACTAAGTTAGGCATCTTTATATATTACTCTTAATATATTTATATTTTTATTATACTTTTACTATATTTTCACACCCCTTCTAGCTACTAATAAGATAATATATAAAAATAATATAACTATTACTTAGTAGCTAGCCCCTCTAGCTAATATCTCCTCCTCTCTTATTAATTAGATCTTTTATTTTATATAGTACTATTATAGTATTAAGGCTTTCACCTAGGACTACCTTATAAAAAGACTAAAAGCTAACTAGGTTACTAATCTTACTAGGTAAGTATATATACTAGCTAGTAAGCTCCTAGAGTATAAGCTAGGCATACTATAGCTACTAGTAGAAGTATAGATATTAATTATATTATTATTAATAATATCTTATACTTAGAAAGTATTAAGCTAGATATAGGGAGTATCTAATATAGTCCCTATCTCTTTACTCCCCTAAACTATTATTAAAGCTCCTCTACCTTAGTCCTCCCTAGCTTAGCTAGCCTATAATAATAATAACTACCTATAGATCTACTAGCATGGCCTACTAGCTAGCCCCTATAATAAGGCCTAACTATCTATAATTATTAAAGAGATCTAATAGATCTTAAGAGATAGTAAAAGTCTTATACTTAGTAGTATATAGATAGTTAGCACTATAGTCCTTCATAATAGGAATCTTAATATCTATATATATATAGTATTAGATTAGGAGTATCTACTATATAATAATAAGATATAGCTTCCCTAGATCTAATCTAGAAAATTAGCTATAATTATAATCTACTAATATACTATACTTATCTACTCTATATCTACTTCTCTTTTACTACTAGGCATAAAAGTTATAGAATAGCTATAAGCTAAGATCTTATACTATAATCTAGAGATATAATACCCTATACTATATATTAGGTAGTATGGTGGCAGCACTCTACTATAGAAGAAGAAATTATTATTAGTTATCTTATTCTAAGATCTATAGGATGCTAACTATCTAATTAGCTATTAGTTAATTATAGATAATATACTATTAGTTATAGAGCTATATAACCTATTCTATAAGATATCCTAGTATATATAATACTACTAATTTAGATATACCTAGCCTATCTATACTACCCTAAGAGTTATATACCCCTACTATGCTAACACCTATAATAAGAAGCACTATATTTATAAGAAGAACCTATCTATCTACTAATATATAGTATACTATAGATAATATACTATTAATAGCACTAAATACCTAGCCTAATATAAATATACCTAATAGCTATAGATCTAAATATATAATAAACTATAATACTTTATAGTGCTAGTAGACCCTATAGGACCTATCCTAGAAGCTATAGCTATAGGACCTACTATACTAGCCTAGCTAGCTAAGCCAGATACTACACTAGAAAATATATCCTTACTAAATCTAGAAGTAACACACCCTCTAATTATAGCTAATATACCCCCTAGATAGTTAGCTAATATACCTATCTACCTACTTATAATATACCCTCCCCCCTAGGCTGCCCCTTCACCTAATATAGTTATATTTACTCACCTAGTAACTAATATTTAAAATATCCTAGTACTCTAGCTCCTACTATATTACTATATAATAATCTACTTATAAAGCATCTTACTATAATACCCCTAGAAAACAGCCCTATTAGATTAGCTAAACCTATTAAACATACCTACCTAGCCTAGCCTGCTGAGCTAGCTAGCTAGACTAATTTAATATAATAGATTACTCCTATCAAGCTTACTAGCCTAATTAAGCCTACTAATCTAACTAAGCCTACTAGACTAACTACTAAAGAAGAAGAAGCATAGAAGGTATAGTATTAGTAGCTCTAAATATAAATATAAATATAAACTCACCCCTATAGAAATACTAGCCTCTCTTAGATTCATAATATATATACCTACCCTACCTAAGTTAAGCCCTAGGAATAGATATATTATTAATATAGTATTAGAGCTAGTACTCTTTATACTTACTAAACTTTTATTATAAGATCTAAGACTAAAAGTATTATACCTCTTTATCTTATTAATCTTAATACTCTCTACTATATTATTATAGATACCCTTCCTACCTAGTAATAGCTTACTCTAGGCCATCCCTACCAAGCCCTA